GTAGTGTCCTTGCTGCGGCATCTGCCTTTGCTGCCCGGGACATAGACGGTGTTTTCTTAAGTACTCAGTTATACAGGGGAGTAGCCATTCGAGGAATTCCAGGAATGAGGTTTCGGCACTGGGATGCAAGCTCACATAACTTCGTTATGCCTTTGCAGATGCGCAATGCAATGCAAAAGGACAGGCCTCGATTGCCTCAATTTTCAGCAGTTCTGTCTCAACTGCTGCTGCCAAACTGTGGAAACCCAGAAAGCTTGAATTTTCTTAGCAAAAGTCGTGCCTTAGCATACGACTGCCTGCCCCGGAGCAGTTGAAGTACGTGCCGCAGCTGCCGTAGGTGCGCTTGGACACTTTGGCGTAATAGAGAGACGTCGACCGTGTAGACAGCCAACCACCGCTTATTCCTGGACTTCTGAAAACCCCTACTTGTTTGCAGTTGCATCTTAGCCGGGATATCAAATCCAAATGGCATACAGCTTTACTCGAGCTTGCAGGTGAGAGGAAGGAAATCGCTTCGTGCCTGCCAACAAAATGAATGGGAATGTCTGAAGAAGCCATCATACGGTCTAGCGTCGAGCAAATTGGTGATGCGTCTCCTTTGTCAGATAATCCGCCAATGAGGCATTGAGAACTTTTGCTTTGCAGTTACCTTGTTCAGCTGCTTAAAGCTTACGCAAACAGGCCGGCGCCTTCAATCCTTTTTAGAGAGCCATCCCCCAATCCTACCCACAAGCCTCGGCTAATTCTCGAAGTTTGCCTTTAGCTCAACAAATCATCCGCCTGCCACGCAAGCTTCTCTTGATGCTGGGAAGGCCGGCGACTAGCAGGTGGCCAGTGTATTTGCAGCTCGTCATTACTTAGGGCGGCCGCAGAAGTCCTTATTTTCCTCTCTTTCTGCAATTCTTAGGCCTAGACCAAACGGCTGGTATGATCTACGTAAAAGGAACCTGTTGTAGATCCAGGAAGACAGGATGCACGCTCACAGCCACCTTCTCTTTCAGCAGTGCTGAACCGCCCGTATGGCAATTGCCCTTGAATTATCGAGGTATTGACTATACACTGCTTATGATATGTGAAATGAGCGTCGCTGAAGGAACCAAAGGTTGCTTCTGCCTACCTCTCCATGGGCAAATCAATCTCTACATCGCTTCTTCGTTTCATATTGTTATCCATGGCCTCCCTGAAAATCCTTCGTGGTACATGGATTCAACATAGAAGTCAGAGGCCATAGTGATAGAACCCAAGTAGGGGCTGAAGTGGCATTTGACTGCAGCCGCCTTGCCAATCTTGCTTTCTACCGCCCTTCAGCAAACCTTAGTCTTCAGAATTGCGTGATCAAATGAATAGGAAGATTGCACTTTGGCCTCGTCTCCTTGGAAAGCATACATACTTCGCGTCTTGTTTTACCCAACTCCATCAATTCTTGGCCAATAATGCCGCCTTGTCGCAGCGCAGCATCGACGCATGCTGAGTGCCTGAATGTGACTCTATCCTTTGCAGCCACATTCTTTGCGCTGCACCCTGCATGGTGTGCTTTTGCGCTGCCCTGGTGCTCCTCTTTGCTTGCCAAGCAGAATTGTTCCGCTAGCACCAAACACTCCTTCAGCTCCTGTATCTTTTCCTGCACTTGTAGTTACTGATTATTTCACTCAATCTCTCGGTACATGTAGATGCGATTAGGGGGAGCAGTCTGGTTACTTGGGAGCCCTTGTTCCCTCTGACTTTCTCTTCTCCTCTGGGCTTAACTCTACTAACACCTGCGCGCAAAAGATTCACTCTGAGTCCGTAGAGTCATCATGTGATTGCTCTTCCTCTGACTTGATGTCTCGAGGAACACCGGTCACTCTTCATATGGGGGCGCTAAATTTAGGTTCACCTCCAACCAGTTTATAAAATCTCAGAGCACTTCTACCCCATCATTCGGCCCATAAAAATTTTCTCGTCTTCATAACCTCAGCGATGCATCCATAGACATCTTGAAGGTTGACAAAATGTGACTTTCTAGCAGTCACGGAGCTTCTACACTTTAAATCAGCTTGCAAGCTGGGGTTGCCCGCCACAGACTGTTGTTGTGCCATCTTTTACTTCCATTCGTCCAGGCTTCTTTTCCCCTTGACTGTCGCTAAAGAAGAGGTAAGTTGTTAGATGATTTAATAACTTCATCACAGCCAGAATTTTGTTGTAGGGAAACCTGACATCCCAGTGCCCCCACAACAAGTAAATGCGCAGGGAACAGTCGCATCGAACCAAGCGATGCTACCGACAGGTACGCTCATTTGTCTCCCCAAAGGAGCGCTTCTCTCTATAATCGTCATAAACGTAACACCAAAATTTTGGCAATTTTTCGCGAAGAGCTGCCTCCTTTTCCTTCGGGTACCCCTCACATATTCGAGAGACACGCAGGTAGGGAGGCCTAGATACAAACTCTAAGCACTTTAACCATTCATAGGTAATTACATGCACCATCTAGCGCGCACACAGCTTTGCGTCTTCTTCAATCGTTAAAAAGGACTCTCATTCAACAGCACTCCCTGACGGACGGACAAAGCAACTCCGAAGTTCAATCCTGCTGTTTGATATTATGTAGAGACAGTGATGTAGAAAGCGTTTAAGTAGAGCTTGGGTCACTACAGAGGTTGTACGGGAAGCTTCGCTCGCGTGAGCTCAAAGAGTTCAGGAGGTTTGGGGGCTATGGTCCGGGATAGCATTATTCTTGAGTGTTCCTAGTCATGTCTCGAGGTGTGCGGGGTGTCAGCCTGCCGCCCGATCCTACTGTCTCTAGCGGGAGACAGTCGTGAATGAACATAGCGCCAGATGAAATTCCTTACTCGTCCCATGGATGTTGACGCTGCCATCACCATTTGACTGATAGGTCGAAAGCCGTGAACACTAAATCTCAGACTCACATGCACATGCCTACCACCTCGATCATAATCTGTGTATGGCTTGGAGAATACCTACCTCTTGAGTTATTCAAACACAATCAGCAGGACAGTGACTCTCCCCTGCCCCTTACTGGAAGTTAACGTCAGTTGTTTCACCTTAAAGCTCAGCACATGTGGAAACGTTTCCTGTATGACCCAAGCACATGTCATTCTGCCTGCCGCCAAGCCGTGGCTTGCCTAGAGGTGTGGTACCTAGTTAGAGCCTGTACTTCCGACAGTTCTGTTTGATTAAAAGGGCCGTCAGCAGCTTCATGTTGGCAGGTCTGAATATCGTTTTTAAAGCCCCACGGGTGCAGGTGTTTCCGTGTAAACGCCAGCGTATGCAGTGCAGCAAAAACTGAAGAATAACTCTACGGGGGTGTAAGTATGAATGCCAAAGAATGGGCGTGGGCATCCCACAGCCTCAGAGGTTCGTTCTTCCTCGTTTGCCTTGTACAGAAGCCCTAACTTCCCAAAAGAAGAAAGGCCGTTATGGGCGGCTCACCTAAAAAATTGCCGCGACACGTCATGCTAGGAATGAAATACGAATTATAAATAGGATTCTTAAAGGGAAGCGGAGAAAAGGCAGGAACATTTCGAAGAACACGACCTGATCCTCTTTGCTCCTCTTCAGACAATCGAAACGCAAGGAAGAAACAGGACTGAAGTGGTAAGGCCCCAGCGTCTTCGAGATCCCCTGTTTTTAAAATCTTTCTTCTCTTGCTTCAATATGCATGTTTTTGCCTCCCCCTAGCTTTCCTAAATGAAACAGTTTCCAAGCATTTACGGTTACTATGCATTTGCCTTGTCAGTTACGGCCCCTGAAAGCATTAATTTAGTTTTGCTAGCACAAACGCAATTATGTACTGCATAGTTTTTGACAAAATTGGTAAGCAGCATCATTGCTGACATTAGAGGCCGACGAAGAGCTTTTCTTTGGAGCCTAATACTGCCTCTGGGCTCAGCTAGTGAACACCCTGATGCCTCTCAGCATTCATGCTCCCCTCCTTCTGGGGGGTCTCGTTCCTGTACCAATTGAGCACTCTCTACAAGACTTTCTTCCTCGTGAGACCCACACCTCGACTCCGCGCACACAGCGTGCAGCGCTAGAGTGTAAGCAACAAGGGGAACTCACAGTTCGTTTCGGTACAGCAGACACCTCGGGGCTGTATAAGATCTTGTTCTCCCCCCACGAAAAAACTGAAAAAAAATCGAGATCCTTCAAGTTCGATGGAACAAGCTTTAAAGGCTACGACTCTCACTTTTGTCCTTAAATGGCCGTTTACCCTTGCGGTCCCAAGTATGGTCCAAAGAGACTGTTGGCTGCCCGTATTACCAAGGCTAACACATGGGGCCATATGAAAGTGATGGTTCTTTAGCCACAGCCCATGCTGCCCGTAAAAGAACAAGCAAGCCACTAAAATACACCAAATTTCATTCACCTAACTTTGAGAGTATAATTTAAAGCTATCTACGAACATCCGGTTCCGGAAAACGTTGCCTGTTTCTCCAAGCCCCTCACCAGTCGGGCAACTGTGTGCTCTGTTTACATGCTTCTCCAAAGACACTAAGAAGGGACAAGCGGTTGCTTAAAATACGGTCGTTTTGCTGCCTACTGTATGACGAACAATGCGTGTTCACTACAGTGAGTACAGTAGGACTTTTGCTCCACACAGATTTCTAGCAGTATCCTTCACTCAATCCTAAACCTCAGCTCGAAGCGTTAGTATCACGACACCCTCTTGTGTTATTTAAATCATTAAAAATGTGCTAGCAAAAGCATTCTTTCGAGCGGCACCAAACACTGTGGATTAAACCGGAGCAACCTGTGGCCATCCGCAAGGGAAACACACTTGTCTTGCCCCCGAACGCGTCCAACGAGGCTTCTGGTAAAAAGCGAATTGACGTTGAGCCGCTACGGCAAGGCCAAGTCCTGTGAGACTTCTAGCTCCACGTTACAGCTGAGCGGCGCCAGCGCTGCTGGGTAAACTACGACATGGTGACAGCAACCACATATCAAGGAGGGCTCTCACCAAGAACGGGTGTATGCCACCATTAGAAACATTGCCGAAGTATCTAATTGACAGGAGAGCCCATGGACGGTGGCCGGGGATACTGTTGGATCAGAGTGGCACTCCTAGATCTGAAGCTATCTGGGGACTCTACGGAGGGGGCTTCGTAGGGGGGGGTGGCATTCTCCTTTGAGGAGCCCTCTTCGGGAGTTCTGACGGCGGCATTGTTATAACCTTGCTCCTTAAAGCTATCCAATTTTCTTTGAAGCTTTACGGAGTGGCGGATGAGACCACGCACAGCAAGAGACAGAACTCTCACCATCCGCCTCAGACGCATGTTCTCCCGTGCAAGCATCTCATAATCCTGTGGAGCTGCTCCTCCATTTTCTGGCACTTGGCCCTCTTGAGTGTTCGTTTGTGTATTTGCATGTCCACAACTCTCTGCCTCGTTCTCGCTGCACGACACAGGGGCCTCGGGCTGGACGCTGCTGCCCGTTGGGGAGGGTGGCTGATCCTCCTCCTGGTTACCCATGCGCGCCATCATGAGCCGTCGGCGAATAACTGGCAATACAAGTCTTAAGATGGATAGCACCCGCTGCCGCCTCTCTTCGGTTGTTGCCGTGGAGGAGTCACTAGGGAGCACTTGGTTTGCTGGTGAGTAGGCTGCGGCTGCCTGGTTTGATATCTGGGCAAGTTGTTTGGTGAAGGGCATCTTCACCCGGCGCTCGGTCTTTATTCCAGCTGCACCTTTTGATTTTACTTTGATCTTGTTGAAGTTCAGGCGGGCATTAAAACCATTAATCCGTAAGGTGCCTTGCGTGGCGGACACCGAATTACCAGCTGAGAGGAAGCGTGCAGCCCCCAACTTTACCTTGAGATCTCCCAGCTTCTCCTTCTGATCTTCAGAGGCCGCCGTAGAAGGGGTTAGGAAGCCTCTTGGTGAATTCTCCAAGGAAGCTGAGGCCATGCTGGACGTAGCCTCCGCAAGCAAAAGGAAGAACAGGAAGGCCCCTGAGGGGCAGAGGACCTTTCGCCGGGACATTTTACAATTTTAAAAGATTTGAATAGGAGCTCTTCTGCTGACTTCTGTCTAAGAGCGGATGAAAGATCTAGACACCGCTAAGCCAACGGCCAGCAGATTCCTCAGGAAACTAGGTCGTCGATGCTGCGAGAAAGCGTCAATGAAAGATTGGCCTTACAGAGAGTTGAAAAAAACCATATATATGCTATTTGTTCTGCGAGTCAACGGCAAGCGATTGGGGGGGCGCGAGAGAACCTGAACATACTCACTGCGCAATGACTTTAAAAAGTGGTCGACGACACTTGCCGATTGGTCGGCCCTGCAAGTCCTAAAGCAGTGTCCGTCAAACCACCCTAGTTTCAAAATTCCTGCATAAAAGTATGAGCAATAAGACTCTTGCTTTCCGCTAGGAAGGATGTGGTCTCGGGAAGAAGTCCCAAGCTGGGTCCCGCCGTCCCTGTGCCTTGACGCACCAGGACGGATTGCAGCATTCGCTTTGTATCGTTCATGAAACACGACGGAAGGGCCTTTGCTCTCAGACCCACCCAATTACAGAGCATTCAATGAAATAGAGAGTCTCTGTGAACGGTGTGTAAGGATGCCTCAGATAACTTTGGTGGAAACTATGGCGTTCTGGCGGCTGTCCGGTGGTTCTCAGCGCTCGCCGCGCTGGTCAATACCGGCGCACGACGGAAGGACAGCTCAATATCTTCAATAAATACATGGAAAAAATGTACTGCAACTTTGCGTCCTTAGCCTAAAAGCAAAGGCCGGGTAATTCAGGCACCCAACTCGTGGTGGCATATCTTTGCCGATACCTGAATAGCCAACGCACTGGAAAGCTTACAAGGTTAACACAGAGAGCAACCCTTCTAATTATGCGGCCACAGTAACAAGGCTGAGTAAGGAATTTAAAATTTTTGCAACGAAGCACTGCGAGAACCATTCTACTTGTGCTCTGCGTTACCGCTGAAAGCTCAGCATTCGTACAAGCAGCGGACTCGTCGGGCTCCCCCATTCAGTTATAGCTAAGCGTTTTCGCACAGGCTATGCCCTGGGATGGAACACTTTGCTGTGCTGTGCTTTCTGAATGCCGCTCAGACTAATGCTCAACACTAACCCTCCTGAATCGAGCAATATACAGTGCAAAGCCACACTTCAACATATTCTACTACACTAGATGTATTCACCTAGGGAATAGTGAAGAGTTGACCTATTGATTTGCCCATCCATGTACCTTGTTTAATTCGGAGTAGTATTTGCTGCTAATAGGAAGACGCAGTGTCGTGTACGTTTGGGCTAGATGCTATGGGTTACTGTATACCTGTGAATCCCCGGAGTGCTCAGAGGGCGCGGCTCGTTTCCTCTTAGCTGCCCCTCTTGCCTCATGTCAAAACTTTGAGTGACGTGGGTTGGGAAATTGAGGAAGTTCCTTCGGAAACACTCAGTTGTTAAGCAGGTAATAGCCGGTAAAAGACTCTCTCCGTGGAGACTTTAGAAGGAGCGTTACCCACACCAAGCCCTCCTGGCGCGAGGCACAGTTTTGGAGACGATGTCAAATTTCTTCTGATCAATAGAATTCGGTAGTGAATGACGTACCGGAGTAAGTTAAAACATTCCGCCTCCTAGGCCCGCCACGATGTACGCAGCTTTTCGATGGGCGAGACCAGCAACTGTGCAGCCGGATCCTTCCAGGAAGGTCGACCTACATGCAGTGCAAAAATTTGGGGTTGGCCGATTACCCCGCTCAAACAAGATCCAGTTCAGCGGCATGTAAAACCCTTGCATTCTGGAAACCGCCGCGGAAGGCATGGAGCGGATGGCAATGGCGCCTCATGGAACAGCCACATTCAACGAAATTACGACCGATGCATCCTTGATCAGTCCAAATGCAATATGCTACGTACATGGGCGCAAGCATAGCCCTGCATTCTTCTCCACATACCCCTAGTCTCAATTTCCTCCTCTATTCTCCACAAGGCCAGCAGCCTCTTCCAAAACGCCGTGTGAATAGCAGCTACAAAAGAGCTTTCCATGGTTACTTCCGGCGTTTAAAGTAGTTGCACTCTGAACAATCACCGTGAGCTGTCACTGGACTTTCTTCACTTTTTGCTCCTCTGTTTGCTCCGGCAGTCGGGCATTTCTGTATAGCCACCGCTGATACATGAGAATCAAAAACACGATGTCATCACGGAATACACTCATCCTGAATGCGCATGTCAACCCGCACACACAAGGACCATGTACACATGAAGCGGGAACCTCACATGTTTAGAGTGAAGCCTGCGACGGAGCCTTCCCATGAATGCGGACCCGAAACACAGGAGCCACTAGATGGCACGTCAGTCTCTGGCCGTCTCCTGCTCATTTTGAACTTTGAGTTGTGGGGATCAGCTAGTGTGCTCATCATAGGTACCGATGCATTTTGGGCATGCGAATGACATAAGCGGCGACGTCGTCCACGAAAGTATTGACGAACTGGCAGCAAAGGACACGCCACGGCATGTACTCCACGGATTTCAGGTAGTAATTCCTGAACAGCTGTGGGGTCATTGCGACGAATCCCAAGCCGTAACAGCAAACTGCCGCGCTAGTGATTAGCCACGACCACCTGAAACCCCAGCACATCTATCAATTTGTACGTCTAGGCAACACAGCAAATCTGTACCTCCGAAGGCGCCACGACATTTTCAGGGTTGCAAGAATAAACGGGGGATGGCAACGCGGGAATCGGGGTTGCGACAAGCTCCTAACCATCCTTTTTGGGGTACGTATACAAGTTGATAGGCGGCAACCCCGATGATTAGCGGTGCGACCAAGAAAAACATCAACTTGCTGAGTGCATATGCAACATTGGAAAGCCACAAGGAGGCTCGCTAAGGCCCCACTGCTAAGCACGCTTGCACGCACAGAACCAAGCCATCTAGTTCGTCTTCCGTGCAGTCGCCAAGTCTGTTATACTAAGTGCTTCCTGCAGGTCATCTGACGACTGCCTTCTCCTCGGTTGCCCACCGCATGCATTTAGACTCGAATGCTTCAGCGCCTTCGCGCGTCTTGTCATCGAGAACTGGAACTTGAGGAACCCCTTTTGGATTTGCACCACTGGCGTCGGCGGCACCCTTGCGTCGTATGTGAACAAACGGGTACTGAGGCTTCACTGACACTTGAACCTAAGGCCACATGACGAAAGACCGATTGCCAAAAAACACAATTGATGGCGGCAGTACGCAATGGATGCTTTGTGGTCCCGAACAAGGTATTGGAAACCAGAAAGCTCATGAAATTCTCAGCGGGAGCTGCGACACAGCCGCAAGGTCTTAGTACATTACGCGAAAAATTCGATGCACGCTAGAACGCCAGCGCCAGCAGCCAGTGCGCGAGTTGGTAAGGGGCAACCCATTCACTCAAATGATGAAAACGGACAAACTTGCTGATCTTCCAGACGTTGAGGAGGATATGAAGACAAACAAAGAAAAGAGGAAGCTTGGAATCGTTCTCGTGGAGATACAAGGCGACTATGACTTCGGTCAGCACCTCGTAGGCCAGAGTTCGCAGCTACAACACTCACCACAGCACGAAAGTTTCAGCTAATTCATGCATACGCGGTGCTTTCGCATGGGAAAAGATGTCCTGACGACACATTCTGTACCACGGAAGCAACAGAACTGGGGACTCTACAGATTTCGAGAGCCATTTATGGACTTGATGGAAGCTGGAGAGCACAAGCCTCACAGAAAAAAAGCCGCTGGGGTCCTTCTGTTTGCGCCAGAAAGAGAGATCTGCCTGCAATGCCGTGAGTTCGAGGAAGCAGTGTGCGAGGGAGAAGAAGAATATGCAAACAAGGATCAAAAAAGAGTTCTTCTTTGCTGCCGCCGCTGTCGTCATCTTCAACGAGTTCATGTCGTACGCGTCGAGCCCAAACCTTTGCTCTAGAAGCGCGAAGCTTCCCGTCAGCATCTGTTGTAAGTACCAATACGCATACCCTATAGTGGACACGCAGCAGAGCACGTGGCCACCGAGTTTATCGATGGAGGGATGCGCCAGTGCTTTTCAGCCACAGATACCGGCATATGAAGGTCGCCTGCTCCCACTCACTATAGAGGGATATTCGGCTCTTCAGCTAGAAAGCCATTCTCCGTTCGTGGATGCTGACCGACCCCTAGGGGCAGGGCAGCGTGCGGGTGTGGCTAAGGGGAAAGCTGAAGTAGGGAGCGAACTGAGCTGAGCTAACATACCGACTGGCTGATACATGACGTTGATGAATAAGGGCTTGTTGAGGTTGTCGGCGTCGGCGTCGGGTTGCACGGCGTCCAGGGGGGATGTCTCAAGGGGTTGGTACTCGTCCTGGGGAGAGATGTCCGCGCTAATGAAGGGTGGCAAGATATAGGTCTGCAGCCACACACGGAGTAGGCTTTCAAGCTGGAAAATAACAAGCCATCAATACAGTGGGGAGGGGTATATGGCCCGCATTGCGTCGTGGAACTCAGAAGTGCGGGGACGGTGGCGGCAGAATGCGGCGATGAGAAGACAGCTTTTCTGTAGAGCTGTTTCCAAAGAGAAATACGCAAGACGCATGCAACCATGCAAAGCGGCGGCGCACGAAGTGGTCAATTCAAATTAGGGGGGGTTGTCAGTCAACACATGATGGAAAAGCGTAAGGACGTCCAGATGGAGCAAGCACATTCACGGGGCGCCACTCCCTACGAAGACACTTCTCAGATCAGCCTGTTTCTGCATTACAACTCAAAGAGCAGTGAACTGTGTGATCTGCCTGCGTGCATGCCTGTTCCTCCGCGTTGATGAAAGGCCAGTTCTGCCCAAGCTTGGCTTTCATTGTTGGCAGGTGCAGTGGCTGGTGTTCGATCACGGGACCGACCTGCGGAGCATTCAAATCACAGAAATCGGTGCGCTGCCACTAACCTCCGCTGCGAGTTTAGCCCTTGAAAGAAGTATATTCTTTCGGATCGGTGCCGCTAAGCATGCAGTCGGACTAAGCCGTCTCTGAAAGAGAATCCCTTCACAGCTAGCTCACCATCACGAACTCCGGGATGCACTGTATGGGGGCGCCAGGCACCTGCAGCCCCTCAAGCTTCTTCTGAAGGACGCTTCCCGTTGGATCCTGCAACAAGTATCTCTTGATGACTTTGTGCTTCTCTGAGAAATAGCCAGTCAACACAGGGCCACGGCCAGCCAAGCCGAGTAGGAGGAAACGAGCAAACTCAACGCATCTTGCGCGTTATAGTGGTGGTGGTGGCTTTTACCCGCTGAGTGATTGATCCAAAGATGGTCGAAAGGCCTACAGGGATGACTCACCGGGCACCATGTAGGTCGTGATACGGCGAACTTGATGGAGCGGCAACTCGTTGCCCTCTTCATCAGACACAAAGACGTGTAGATAGAGGGTTTGGTTCCCTTCTCTGAAGCAGCGCATTACCACCCTACTACAAAGTAGCATGGAGGGAATATGGGGAGGAAGCGCTAAAACGGTGGTCTCATAATGCAAGGCTCTTATTCAAAGCCCTAAAATTGGGAAACCCTCTTTTTCCGCTGCTCCTCCTTCAAACCCTCGTGCCTCTTGCCCCCATATTTCCTCTAGCGTTCCGGTCCCTCTGAGCAGCCGACAACCTGGTAAGGGGCACCACAGTCGCGGGGAAAGATCACCTATAATGGGGCGGGATTCCAGCCGTAAAGGATGCAATGTTGCCGCTTGAGACGTCCAAATAATCTCTCCAGGCCCTCCAGATGCGGTTAAGCCTCTTAAAGGCAGAAAAAAGATGCCCCATCACCCATCCTTTCTTCTGTTTCTTCTTGGTCTGGGTGTCTGCCTTGCCATGATCCTTCGTGCGGTCCGAGGAAGCCTCTGACGGTGGCTCTTCTGCATCGTCCTGCGTTGGGCTTTTTTCAGCTTCCTCCGCCCCTGCTTCGACCTCTGCTTCAGAATCCTCCTCCTCCTCATCTTCCTCTTCATCAAAGGAATACGGCTTAAAGCGAGAGATGCCTACGAGGCTGAATTCCTTTGGCATTGAGTTCTTTTCCTGTAGATGCCAAATCATGTGCTGCCGGACCCGGTCTAGGGGGGGAAGAGCCGGATACTGAGATATCATCATGTCGAAGTTCAGATAAGATCCCTTCTAAATCAAAAGCCAGCACACGCGCGACACCCTTTAAGGCATTAGCCATAAGCCCATAGAGCCCCCGTGGCTGGCAGCTGCCAAGGGCATGCGTAAACAGGGAACATGCCTCTGAGGGAGCTTCTATGGACTTACGTCAATCTTGTTGACTAATACATCCGGTAACTTTTGTAGTTCTTCCCTAGAAAGGCCCTCGAGAGACTGCGAAACACGCCCCTCAGCCCTTGGGGCCGAGGTGGCTCTATACAGGTCCCACATTGTGTAGCCGCAGTAGGCGGCGAAAAAAAGCATGACCGACTTTCCGAGCCACCCCATCGCCAATGCCGCTGGGTTTTTACGTGCACCGAGCCAAATACGAGCAACAGTTGCCAACGAGCTGTGCCACCGGGCACCCGGTCTTCCCGGCTGACTCTCACACTTCTGGGAAGGGGGCTTGCTGGGGGAGCCCAGAGCCTTAGATTAGCCCTCGCTAAGGTGTTACGTGCCCCTAGGTAGGCCTGGTACTGGAGTGCCTGATGGCTCTGCGGGCAAACGCTGTCGCCGAAAAGCCTGCGCACAGGGCGCAGTCGGGGGTTGCTCGTGACGCCGAGCTTCGCAGTGGAAAGAGCAATGAAAACCGACAGACACAGGGTAATAATGATAAATGTAGGTTAAGAAACAGCAACAAAAATTCTTTGAAGGAAAGACAAGTGCCAATTCGGGACAACACGTTCGGCTGACACACACAGAATCAGACAAACAGGTGCTTCCTGTAGCTCTCTTTGGGGATCAACCGCTGCCAACACATGCACATGCATTGCAGAAATCAATAATGTCACCAGTCATTCATGCAGCAATTTCTACCTAATTCATATGCAGGTCCGCCGGTGTTCCTCCACAGCCCCGCCAGCCCCATTGCACAGCCATTCTCAAGGACAGGGCGGGACCTCCTAGGAATTATATTGCGTGTTTATGTTATATGTTTCAATGAATCACAGTTTTATTGGCAGAGCTCTAATGATCTCTGGCGGAATTGGGGAGTAACTGACGCTTTGTTGCTGCCGTATCTCCAAGTTAGCAGCAAGCCAAGCGCGTGGCAGTCTGAAGTTACAGCGACTCCTCTTTTAGGGACTCGTTCCCTGCTTTCCTCTTTGCGCTCAATATACGGGTGCTTGCATGACTGTTCATACTGATTGCAGGCCCTAGTTTGCTTGTATCAAATTACTGCGCAGGGCTCCGCTACACTGACACTCGCACCAACGCGGTAGGAAGCATGGTGAACGGAAACTAAACCGCGGTGGAAGTGTTAACTCTGGACTAAAGTGTTCTAGTGCCACTCATAAAACTCGGCTCTCTGGTTGATAGCATTCCTTTGTTTTTGTGGTGCATGCACTCGCCCTCGATACACCAGAGAAATGTGGGATGTTGACGTGTGCGTTGTTTTGTTAACGTAAGCGCGATATCGGGTGTCGTTTATTGAAAAACTAGCCGCACCCTGCCTGGCCTTTTGATAAGTTACACTAGAGATAGTGCATCCTAGCGTAACGGGGGGCATATTTTTATTGTGGCAACGGTTAAAAATGCAATTGCGGCTCTAAGGTTGCAGGTTTCCATACGAGCGATAGGCTAGGAATACCTCAATACCGTCGTAAAAGTAGCACTTTAGCTACAGGAAGATATCCTGCATGCGCTGTCTCAATATGTACTTAGCCCAAAGACGAACTGTGTGCGTGAAGCCTTTTTGCACAGGGCATCGTAGATGCTTTGGGTTAAAGGTTTGGGCTTGAGCATGACAGAAGACACAGCCTACATGTATGATTCACCACAAAGGTTTGGTACAGAGCAAAATAGAAAGGTACAACGCGACTGGTACTGACAGAGTCTTGCGGAGGGGCTGCTGGGACCTATCATCGTACCCTGTGTAGAAACAGATGAGGAAGCGCAAGGGCTAAATGTTTACATGGGCAATCCCCCCTTCTTCTTTAGAGAGACCAGCTGAACGCAAGCTGTGGGAAACGTTGTAGACGAATACATGCACTGGAGTTCGAGCAGAGTTGAGAGTCTTTAGAAGCACTTGAAAGGAATAGTAGCAAGTCCTAGTACCTGCCTTCACCCACTAAAATCGAAGGTGGGCCATCGACCGGGTATCCAAGAGCACGGTTTTGCTTCCTGTTGTAGAACCGTTTTTCTGTAAGGTAATTGTTAGTGAGGACTACCTTAAAAGCAGACTGACAACTGACCAGCGTACCCAACCAAGAGTCAGGCTGCCCAACCCAGCAGTATTGCCTGCCCCTTTGTTGCTTATCTGATGCCTTTTACCCTAAAGAGTGTCCACAAAGAATCCCGTTGTCACTAAAGCGTAAAGGTTCTGAAGATGTAATTTAGGATGTTTTCTCAGCGGAAAAAATAACCCTCCTTGGCCTATCGCCCTCCAGGCTTCTATCCTGCTGGGAGAGAGGACAACAGAGATGCGTGCTGCTGCGCCCTTTGCGCACTCTTGGCATTCGACCACAGGTGCACAACAACTCTACAACAGGCCCACTACGGATAGTGTAACCGTATGCACATATACGTGCTACTCTTCTTGAACAAATAGAATGTCACCCCAGCGATAGAACTAGCACTTGAATGGCCCTTAAGTGTGCATATATACTCCAGCAGCAACTGCCTCAGTGTGTGGTGGCCTGTTACATTTCTGCTTGTCATTGCTCCTCGAATGTCTGCGTTATTGTGCTGTTCAGCGAAGCTGCACGGCAGGGCGCACATTAACGAGGCGTTTCTGCAAGCTGTAGAATAGTAAGTCAGATGTGGTGGAAAGCATCAGCCGCAGTCACTCTTATGCATAAAGATATAGGACACCTCGTGCGGAGAAGAGATCCAACACGCAGCACAGATAAGAGATTAAACAGCTGGTATGGCTAGGAAATGGAACAGCTAGTACCGAAAAGTTATGTTACAGCTAGTGCAGATAAGCAATACGAGAGCTTGTACAAGTATGGATTGCGACAGCCAGTGCAGAACACAAATGCTGCATTTAGTACGGATAAGAGAGCACAGAGAAGGTGGGTATTCTTAGGGGGCCCTGGAGCTCTCTGGGGCCCTGTGAGTTGAAACCGACAATCCGTTTTTTACCCTGTTAAGGAAGAAGGGGATTCCTCCTTGCACCTATTTTCTTATGGCCTACTACTTTCTTCATTTTAGTGATGCCGAATATTTTCTTTTAATTGCGTGGACCTTCTTCGGCGTACAGCCGCCAGTGTCTTTGGGCAGGGCACTTCGCTATTGCCGTAGCCACACCAGGGGAACGATGGAAACATCCTGTTCTCTAATTGACATAGAGACTCTTCAATAAGCGATATTTTCACACTTGATACCGAAATATCTGGGTTTCTCACAAGAAGAAGCAGGCAAACCTGTGCTAGGCCCTGTGGCTGAGCCACTGGTCGGCTCCGCCTCGGCAGCTGCGAGATGAGTAGCTGACTCCCATCCATCCTCCGAAAACAATACACTTAGGAGGCCCCAGTCTGTGTTATTTCAACTGAAGCCTGGCGCCCACAGCTACCGAACGGAGGCTGTAGGGAGGCTGAAGTGTGTGGAAGACTCAGGAGGCAGGTACTGCCGCTCATGGCTTCCCCATTTGAGACCCTTGATTAGGCATTCGATGTTTTGCACCATAAAACACAGATTCTTTGCAACGCTGTGCCATAGCCCGTTTTGGAGCGTCGTGGTACTGCGCCCCCCATTTTCCCACCAGGAGGCCCCCGCGGTTGAAGGCCTCCTCTCTGCTTTCCACCCCCTCGGAGGTAAAAGAAGCTTACACTCGAGTTCTTTGGAGCCTCTGGCAATTTGATTCTTCCAGAAAGGCGTAGACCGACGAAGGCTCACAGGGGTGCCCGAGTTAGGCGAAAAGGGTCAAGAGGAGGGAGGTCCTCACCTCCCAGAGCAGCGCAACTCCAGCATCACAAAGAACGACCGAGGTGATGGCGATCCTTGGTGCAGCAGAGGAGCGTCGTCTCTTCTCTGATGGTGCCGTAGGAGCACTTATGCATTGGTGCGTCTCCGTCCTCTGCTCATTTCCGATGGCCATGAGTCCCCTGGCTTGAGGGGGATAGAGAGCCACTGACGCACACCCCTTCCCCTCTCCCCCCCCGTTCCTCAAGGGCCTTCCTCTAATTGCCTTGTCTTAGGTTTGCGACCTCCCTCTTAGGTTGATATTACTATTACTAGTACTGTGCGGATCACTTGGTCAATGCGTGCTTGTATTCCTACTTGGAATCGTTTGGCGTGCGGACGCTGCAGGCCAGATGGCTATTCGGTAGATGCAGCACAGTGGGTATCTGAGGCCTGTGACGCATATTCCCGGCCTCTTGGTGCCTACTCCAGAGGTTCTCTTTCTGCCGTCGCTCCACCTGCTTCAGTCGGTCCTCTAAGAAACGCCTCGGGGGCCCTCGAGCACCCCCCTGCGGCTTCCGCAGGGCGTTTGAGACACCCAGAGAGGGTCCCTCATGGCTCAGGCTTATTTTCGGATGCTCTTTTTCCCTCAAGGAGTAGAGGGGATCTGACGCCGCAGGATTTGGTAGCCCTTGGCGGCGTCTCTACTGGTGGAGGGGTGTGTTTGTCAGAAGGCCAGCATCAACAACGTTGTTCCCCGACGACTAGCGGGCAGCAGCGTCCCTCGGCTACATGGGGGGGAGTGGTGTTTCAGCCCTCTAGAGAGCAGCTCCGTCTCAGGAGTCGTTGCCTAGGCCGCCGTCCTCACAAAACAATTGCACGGGCTATGCATGAGTCCGAGGTTCCAAGTAAGCAGCACATGCGGCGTACGGAGGCCCTTGCAGCTCTCGCTCAACCCAGTCACATATGCGTTCAAATTGCGCTGTATTCGACCAGTCTCATTCTTCGCCTCTGTGGTCCTGCGAATTGCAGCCTGCGAGACTTCTGCCCGCCGGGGTCACTCGACTGAGCTGCGCTTTGGAGTCTCCCCGAGGAGGCCTCTAGGGGGATCTCAGGGCCCCCAGATGGATGCCGCTGATCCTTGGCAGCGAAGAAGAGCACGTTTCTATTCTTGCATGCCAAAGAGGACGGGAGGCGAGAGATCGGCAAGCGGCGCAAGACCACGCCGTTGCTGCAGGGGCGAAGAAGCGCAGACTCTTGATAGGGCTGCAGCCGCATCAGCTGCGGCACCCGCATGCCAACTGCTGCTCCAGACGCAGCATGAGATTTTGAAGCAGCAGTACCAACAGGTAGAGCAGTTGCGTGTCCAGTTGCAGCAGCTGGGGGACATGCTTAGTACGCTGAGGCTGCAAGTTAGCGGCTCCAGCCAAGGCACCACTGGATCTCATACCACTCCCATTCCCCAATCCGCCAACACAGCTATGCCCTCTGGAGGCCTCCAAAACACGGTCCCCGAGGACGCTGATCTGGATCCCTTGGATGTTGAATTGGGTGATGACTACCTTGGCTGGAGTTTGGATCCCAGAGACTACAAGTAAGTGTGCCTGGCTCTAATGCACACGACAGGTGCCTCCTAACAAAGCGAGCGAAGGTTTCAAGGAGATTCCTAAGTTAATATCATGCCTGACAGTCTACATTTATTCCACGTATGCGTGGAATAAAGATCACCACATGATTAATGTATTAGAACGAAAAGTGGAATGGCGAATTTAACGGCGGCGTGTGACCTTTTTTCAGGGAAATGCCAGCAGAGGCGTTAGACTGGATCCCTCCTGCCGGCATTCCTTCGGGACAGCCAGAGCACTAGTATCAAGCCTGCTTAGTGGCGCCACCAGCAAACAAGTCGAAAAACGATAAGAGCCGCTCCCCCGTACATACAATAGCGCTGATTGTTTCTCTGGGTTTTGTATTTAGTACTGTGCTCGCAGTGGAGCTGTCATCAGACAAAGCCCACTTCATGGTGCCTGTGGAAGCCAGGGTTTGATCTATTGCTGAAAGGCTGTTTAGGTTCAAGAGAATCGGCGAATGGCAAGCTGTATATAATCCCCAGCCTTGAGATGATCGCTTAGCCGGAGTGGCAAAGGAGGTGGCGAGGGTGAGGCCGGGGGCGAGGGGAGGCGGTAGTCTAGGATGGTAGTGCGGGAAGGAGGGCAGATGTACTTTGTAACAGAGCCATGCTCGTAGCAGGAGGTACGATACGTTCTGACGCATCTAGAATGGTGCAGCCACATAAACGCTGCCTCAGATGCCCCTAATGAGCTGAAATTCGGGGCTTCCGCATCTGCGGTTAGATACCCAACACTATGGTATAACATACCCACCGAGACATTCATCCAAACGTTTGCCGCATCGAGTGAGAATGGCGGCATGGCGCTGCTGACAGACGCTTTAGGTGCGCCATCCTTCTGTCGGATCTAACCCAAGTAGCCGTGGAGTTTATGCGCTGGATGGCTCCATACAAGGAGAAAAGTGCCACCAGCCTTAAACACAAAACTTATTAAATTCCAGATAAAGCGCTTAAGGGCACAAGTGGCACGCAGCCTTACAGATACTCGCGCTTCAGGATTCTCGGGGCTGCAAGGGTCTGCCAGTCAACCCTCCATTTGCCGCCCCGCAGTTCCCTCCGTTACGCCCCCCGGGGAAGCAGCGCACGAGGCCTCCAGCTTATTTGAGCCATAACACTTGAAATAAGAAGTTTCCCTTTTGATTAACCCCCTGGCGCTGCGCAGCTCGCTTACTTTGCCACGGGCTTCCAGGGGGGGGCGCGCGGCTTGGGGACCTTCCGCTGAAGTCGTTGCATTTTTGTTCCCTCTTTGGGAGCATGCGGCTGTTCGCTTTCCTTGCACTCGTGCACCGCTCTATGTCATTTCATGAGCTCATTGGCTTCCAGCGCCCGTCATGCCTCACACACGGAGCTGTAATAACCCCCTGAGGGATCTGCTGCTCCCCGTCGGCGCCGTGAACTGTCTTCCATCCGGAAACTTAAGAGCCGTGCTTCCTTACTCCAGTCTCCTCTGATTTAAGCAGCTGCTAATGAAACGAAGCATACTGTAGGGGTCTCTTCTTTCTCCCAAGGACCCGTCCGTAAGGGTCGAGAGAGCGAGCCAAGCGGCAGCAAGGGCCCCCGCATCTTGTAGCCGCCTGTGTTCACCCCCAGCCCTTCACGCTTTCAGAAATGGAGAAACTATTTCCACTGCCTCTGATAGACTCGCCAGTGAGCCCTGCATTCCCGACACACTCAGATTCCTCCTCTGTATATACAAGTAGTAGGCAGCACACCAATACTGCAGCTTGTTGCACTTCCTCTGTCTGTAGATTCACGTTGTGCCTGCTACTGCTGCTGCTGCATCTGGGCCCCACATGCGCCGCAGCAGGCGTCAGCAACGCTTCATGTTCTGCACCCCTGCACGCCACGCGCAGCTAGCGGCGAGAATTCCCTCACGCAAGCCCCCGACTATGGGTGCCCTGATGAGGGGAAATCTCAACTGGCAGAGAGGAGAGCCTCCAGAGGATCTGAAGAGCGTTTCATCCCTTTGAAACGCCCCAGGAAGGGAGGCCTGGAGGAACCTGCATGCGCAACACCCGCCCCTCTCGGAGCAGTTAACCATGATGAGATCAATGAACATAGGCTCCGCTCTCCAGCCTCCAACTCGCGTGCCGCATGCTCCGTCGCTTCTCCTCCTTCCGCTATTGCAGTTGCATGTGGCCCTGCTCTCAATAATGGGCAGCCAGCAGAGTCAACGAGAAAGGAGGAAAGCAGCGCCACGACGACATCTCTGAGTGAAGGCATTGTACCTCGTCATGAGGGGAGAACTGATGAGGCCAAAGGCGTTGCTAAGCCACACGCCGCCTTATCCGTAAGGCCCTCTGCCTCTTAAAGGGCTATATATTAGTAACTCCCGTGCAGGCTGCACGACTTTCTAGAGGACGACAGAAAGGAGAGTTGAGGCGCGATGGGCGCGGCGCTGCTCATGAAATGAACATTTTCGCTGATGCTGTGCTGTCGTCGATTCAGGATACATCATGGGAGACCCTCAAGGCACTTTCCTTTGATAGTCTGAGGCGTGCAATATTCCGTTGTCTACAGGATCTGCGGGCTGCAGGGGGTGTCCCCTCCGAAGGCGGCCCCCAGGATCCTGGTCGCTTTGCAAACCACGTGGAAAATATCCTGGATGCATGCAACTCGGAAGATTTGGCGCCATACCTCCAAATTTTTGCTGTTTGCCTAACTCAGGGGTGTGAGCCGCACTGTCTCCCCATGGAGGCTAGGGTGCTGATGGTGGAGTGTCTTTCAGCGCTCAAGGCGACGGGCTATAGCGTTCACGTCCGGCGAGTCTTTGAGGAGTATCACCGCCTCGTGTCTACCTTGAGGCGGAGAGATGTCTTGCTTGCTCCTCTCAGCAACGACAGCATTGCAGGTGTGGGTAGGTGGGGAAGTAGTTGCTGCGCCTTGCGCCAGGTGGCTGCAGCCGCGGGGCCTGAAGACGGCCAGCTAGCTGATTTGTGGGTTAGTGCGTCGCGATGGAATCAGACGCCAGAGGAGGCTCAGGAGAGCGATTTCCAAGGCAGCGTATGCAGAAGTAGCGGCAGGCCCGAGGACTTTTTGCTGCATTGCAAGGGAGTCATCCTTAAACAGCTGCGATACTTACGCCGTATCGCGCCTGTATGGGCCGGTAAGTTGTCTGCTGCAGCTGCTGTAGCGGCTGCCACTTTTTCTCCATACTGCTCCCTTTCGTGTGGCGGCTGCTGCTGCGAATGCTGGAGGCGTGGCTGGCAAGCGTCCGGCGCAGCTGTATTTGGAACTAAGGGTGCTATATGCCCGTGTTTTCAGCCCGCGATCGGTCCTACCAATACCATATGGAGGCAGTTTTGGGAGCAAAGACTCCCAGCGAGCTCGCAAGGTATTTGCTGATCCTCTCCTCGCTACAGCCCGATCCAGATGGCAAGCATATAGTATCCGTCGGGTCTCTTCACGTACGCCTCTCTCGATATATCTACGAGCCGTTGACGGCCCTCTTCCCCAACTCCTCCTCTCTTTCTTTCTTTCTTTCTTTCTTTCTTTCTTTCTTTCTTTCTTTCTTTCTTCCTTTCTTCCTCGCAGCTTCGCCTTCCCTTCCCCCAACCGACATGACGCAAAACACTGGAGTACACGCCTTCTTTCTGTTTACTGTGGCCGATGAGTCCAGAACCCACAGGTACAAAGCTATGCCTTGAACCCCGTGCAACCCATGTGCCACTTGCAGGACTGCCTTCGCGAGCTGCATCTTCTTCAGAGGACCGACTCCCAAGAAGGCCTCACAGGGGCCCTCCCGGTAACGCATGCAGAGCTAGCACAGTGTCTTGCTGCAGTACAAAGCAAGCGAAATTTGGAAGGGGGGCTCAGTGGCCCCTTGATGACCTTAGGGCGCAAGCACGGAGCCCGGACAGTCTCTGCATTGCCGGCCCCCTCCACCCGCGCTCAGAAGTACCGCTTGGTCTCTCCGCAGCTCGAGGCTGAGGTGACTGCCAATCTGCAGAGGCTGTCCTCTCTGCCTTGCGGGGACCCCTTTTTGACAGCCTTTGGAGCACCTAGAGCCAAAGCGCGTGGCGAGGACCCTTCCCTAATGTACGCCGAAGAGCTCATGGCGGTTGCTGCTGGCGCCGCTGACCCCCCCACTGTAGCCCAGCAGTGGGCCTTTACTGAGTTGCAGCGGCTACGGCAGTACTGGGCAGAAGGTATGTTTCCACTCGCCACGAGAGAAGAGGCCTCGCTTCCTCCCTTGGCCCCCCCAAGCACCCCCGTATCGCTTTACTCCGCACCAGGAAGGCTGGGCTTTGCCTGGCGTATGCCCAGGACCCGCAGCACGCCATGTCCAATAAGCACGGCGAGAGGCACAAACGCCTCTTGTTCAGGGCATCATTTTCCTTCCGCCACGCATTGCAGAAATGGGGAGGCCTCCTCACGAGCGTCCTTCCAGAGGCTATCTCCTCCACGAGCCGCGCTGCAGTCCAGCGGAACACGTGGGTTCATAAGTCAGGCTAGTTGAGAAAATTGCAAACCATCCGAGGAGGATGTGAGGCCCCCTCACTGGAGGAAGGGGGGGCGTTTTTCTCAGGAGCTTCTTTGAAGCGCTTTACCAGCCCTCAAATGCAGGCCATCTGGAGCAGCGGCTAGTCCACTGTATGCTAATTACAATGGGTTTTCGAGCACACACGCTACAGTTATGTAAGCGTGCAGCTGGTTCGCTGGGGACTGCCAGAAGTCTCGAGGTGTTTTCACCTTCCAAGAGACTGTCCAAGACAGAGATGAAATCGCGAGTGATAACGCGCCGTCTCTGCATTATTCCCTCACTCCTTGCTAGGGTTGCATGTAGCGAGATGACTAGGAGCCCCTCAAAGAGGACCTAAGTGGACCTGAGGGATCCTACGGGGGCATAAGTGGCATGCACATGGGATGTTGCTTGGCAAAAAATCTGTTTACACTGCCTTAACATCATTGCGATTGCCGCTGCCTAGCGTCGTCGCGCCTGGTGTCGCTAGCTTGGGCTTCCTGGTCCTAGCGCGGCGTACTTTCTTCGCTTTTTACGACGAAAGGCAGAGGCTGTTTCTATTTAGGGAAGGAGATTAGGGCTGTATGCAAGCGATGGCACTGTGCCAACACTAAGTGCTTAGCTAGAGCTAGACAGAACGGGCAGCCATTTACTGCGCCACTGCTAGGGTGCGTCTGCTCGGGTAGCAGGGCAGGGCGCAGAGGGGGCCGCAGAGCTGGTGTTAGACTGAACGAGAGCTTCATTTCGGGCTAGAAGCACATTGAAACATCAATATGAAGAGCGAATTGGTAGGTGTTGCGCAGGGAGACGCTCTGCTGTGGTGAGCCGTGCGTGCTCGTGCACGCATTGGTCAGGCAGCCGAGACGCACGGGAAATTGCGCCGGTTTCGCCGCGCGAGTGCCTCAGAGAGTCCTCGCCGCCAAAAATTGAACGAAAAGACAGCGTTATGGCCGTTACAGCAGCACCTGCGTAGCCTTAGGGGGAGGGGCCCCCCGCACGACGGCAGGCGATCGACGGGGTCCCCCGTGCGGCGAAAGAAATAGACAAACGCGTGGAGTCTTTTTGCGCAAAGAATCGTCGAGTCCTTTCCCCTGCAATCCTATTTACAATACGCTCTAGATAACAGAAAGAGGGCCCCTGGTGTCTCCCTGGTTAGGGCAGGGCTTATCCAGCAGCGGCGTCGCCGGTCTCCGGGGCGCCGCCGACGGCTGCTCGGGCGCGACGGGCACAGAGGCGGCCATAGCCGTCCTGCGTGTCTGTGGAGTAGTTGCTGCTCAGCTTTCCTGTATGCTTGCAGCTAAAACCGCCTTTAGTTTAGTCTTGGGAAGGATGCAATACGATTCCGTAGCTTTGGGAGGCCTCACTCGTCTTCAAGACAGCTCACTTGCCGTGGCTCTGTCTCTGCCGTCTCTGCTGCTCTCCGCGCCCCCCCTCCACCCCGAGTTCTGCTGGGCCCTTCCGCCTCGGGTGCTCTATTAGACCACATAGCTTGATTGGAATATCAAAGTTTCTCCCGCGGACTCCTCAGACACGGCAACGCGAGCAGCGCCTTCCCTTGCCCTGCCCTGCCTGGCCTTCGTGCTGGGGGGAACGGTCTGCTGCTGTGACTTAGGAACGCGGAGTGTCGCCACAGGGTGAACCCTAGCTGCTGAAGCGGCAGAAAAGCTACATAGAAAGCGTTTTATAGGGCGAACACTTCAGGGGAAGGCCCGCGGGAGGCGCCTTCGCCTGCGGGCGCCCGTTGCCTACTCGGCGAGTGGTTAGGACACCTGCGGAGGAGCAAAAGACTCATTTTTCTGTCGTCTCGGGGTGTGGATGTGCCATAAACTTAGCCTTCTTACAGGTACCAAGACACGGGTGGACCCTTTCGATATCAACTCTTTGCACGCTGACTGGCATCTGGCCAAGAGACATTTCTCCTGAGCACGCCCAATGAACCTTCGAGCGCTTTCACCGTGTCTTTTCCTCCACTCTGCATGCAGGCCACCGCATTGCCTTCGTGTTACGCGTACAGCCTCTTTGAAGCTCTTTACACGCAAGAGCAGCGGCACCAACGGAAGCATCCAATGAACCCTCGAGAGCCTCAGCAGCGAAGCCAAGGTACTACACAGAGAGAAGAGCTGCTCAAGGGGCAGGAGTACTTTGTTTGAGTATGCCCCTCTTCCCCGTTTTCCTCACGCCATGGTCCACAAGTGGACTCTGCAAGTAAAAGAAGTGGGGTCACACCTGTGTATGCACGCAGACATTCGGGAAGGGAACAGGGGTCTCCCTAGCCCTTCGGTGGGACTGAGGGGCCTCCAGAAAGCGATGTGCCTCAGCGAGTACATACGTAATGCAGCATATATGTTGTTGACTGCACAAAGCGAACCCCCCGTTCCCCCTTTCCTGCGCCACCTCCCTCTTTCCGCCGGCAGCCACGCATCCCTTCCCTCTTCCTCCTCCTATCAACTCTGCGTCAGCGCTATGCAGTTCGCATTCTCTACTGCGTGGCCTCAAGTCTCCCCTCTCTTCTGCGTGTCTGCGGCTGCAACACTCTCTCCAGCTTCAATCTGACGGCAACGAGCGTAGGGGCCCCGCCGAAGACCGCTGGGCATCTCCATGAAGGAAGCTCCTTTCTGTTCACCTGGCAACAATAAAGAACCTCGAAAGCCTGATTCGAAACACGAATATGCAGCACCTGAGCGATATGCCGTTTTTCCTACTCCGAAGCACCCAAAGTTTCACCAGCCAGCCTCCCCAAACCTTACCGCTTTCCCACACTGTCTCGAAGCACTCTCCGCCGCAGAAACGCTGCAAGAGAGTCTCGCTGCAAAGATGCCCCAACAGCGGCATTCCTGTGAAGAAAAGACCCCAGACACTTCAACCGTGCCGCAGCAGCCGCTACCACTTGAAGCAACTAATTGTGAGGCAGGGAGCACCGCAAACGAAATTCCTGCTGCTGTACATTCCACTTCTAGCAGGCTGCCCCCAGACCGAACACAAGAGGGGGGTCCTAAAGAACAAGATGCCAATTGCGATGACACCCGTAAGTCTAAAGAGACATAGCACGTCCTTCAAAAGCCATGTCGGTGAAGCATAGGGTGTAGCCTTTTCACCTAGTGTCTCTCTGCTCCTTGCTTACGCCGCGCTTGCTGTCCTTTCCGCAATCCCTCCTCTCTCAACGCCCTTCCTCATATCTTTCTCACTTCCTCACCACTCTCGAACGCTTCCAGCGCCCACAAAAATCACACCTTTTTTAGGTTGCTGCTCGTCTCGTCGCTGCTGCCCTGAGACACCTCAAGCCTTGCAAGAGCCTTCCACAGTGACACAGCTGCTTTCTTCTAGTGTCTGCAAAGCTCTTCCTTTCTTTGCATGTGCTTCTCAGCTGCCGCGTTAGAGAGGCAAACCAACGAGACTCCATCGGGGGAGCCCTGTAGTGGCAGGCGACAAGGCCTTGCCCTCCCTTGCCCTCTGCGCTCTCTTCAGTCAACATTCTCTAGTGCCCTTCAGCCGTGTTCAGACCCACAAGGCTTCGTGCCTCTAAGTGCTGTAGAATTTCCGCGGATTCCACCCTACAGCACAGCTGGAACGGCTGGAAATCCGACAGAAAGAGAAGTGCGCTTGACCAGTGCAGCACCGACGCACTGGCCTGGTAGTGACGGGAAATCTCAGGGCAGCAGCGCTTGCCTTACCCAAGATGTGAGTATCTCTCCATCTAAAGAGCCTTGGTATCTGCCTTCAAATGAAGCTGCTCCTGAGCCGGAAACTTTCAGTAACGTGCGAACTAGGGATGGCTCATGGCTGGGCCTTTCTCTCTTCCAGCTTCCTGCGGATGAAAAGGAGCAATGGCTGCTACAACGCAGCCATGCAGGGCATGTCGGAGGCGAGGATACCCCAGCATACTCTGCCTGGGATCTGTATTCCCTGAATCCTCCTCTGGATAATGAGGGGTCCATAGACCCTGACTCGAGGGACAGAGCGTGCCTCTCCTCTCTCAGCAGTAGTGACTCTACCACCTCTTGCTGTTTATACACGCCAGCTAGCCGGACTGAGTGTGGAGTTCATGATGAGTTCGATGCCCTTCATAGCGACGGGGACTCTCCGGCTTGCTGCTGCACCCGTTCCCCTGGTCGTTCTTTGAATGGTCTGAATGAGGAGCCCTTATCGGCGAAGGAGGATCTGTTTCCTCAGCTGGCTGGAAATGCTTCTTCCCCGCCTTCCGAGCAACCGCTCGCTCCTCCAACCTTTCTCTCTGGCAGAGGCGAAGCTGAGCAGTCCTTCTGTGCGCCAGCCGGAGATGTCGAGGCCTGCGAGTCGGTCGGACCTTGTATCGCTCCTACTGTTTCTTCTGGCTGTCACCGTCCAGAAGGGGTTCATTTTTCTGCCTGGCAGACTATGGGTAGGATGCAGCCGGTCCCCCCTCTTCGATCCTCTGAGGCCTACTTGATGTCTGTTGGGGTAGCCGCACGTCGCTTGAGCTGCTCTAGAGCTGGTGGCTTCGGCTGTGGCAGTGCTCGGCATGCTGCCATGCTTCATCTCTGTGGAGCTTCTGGATGGGTTCCCCATTGTCAGGAGCCAGGCTCTGCGCCAGCCGCCCTTACCACATCTTCCAGATGCCCGTGCAAATGCTCCGCTTTCCATCGCTTGGCAGGGTGCTGTCAGAGGGCCGCTCTCGCTGCGCGCGACATCGGGGGATCTCGAGGCTTTCTACTGGGGGAAGAGGGAAGGACGCTAGGATGCTGCAGACGGCTCCTAGGGAAAAGCACCTGTCGATGTCTAAGGCGATGCAGCCGAACATACACACGTTCGGGGGGGGCAGGAGGGCTATGGGGTGCGGGAGACTACAGAGATCTCAGGAGCGTCAACAGGCCTCCGGCAATCTCACGCTGCAGCTGCAATGGCCTCCACCACGCTCGGCAGCCTAGTGAGAGCAGCAGCTGCAGCTGCGCAGCACCAGCGGAGGGACCACTGACGCATAATGGACTACCAGGGGGGTCCTTAGTTCCGCCCACAACCCACGCGTGTTGCAATGCACAGTGCACGTCACAAGACCTCCAGTCTCAGAGCCTCCTCTGTGCTGGAGCCGCCGCTTCTCGTTTGAGAAGTGACTCCTGTTTGAGGCCCTCCTTGAGCTTAGGAAGCTCTCCCTTGCTTCTGCCTGGCCTTTGCAGCAGGCGAGGCGGTGTGGCAGATGCTCAGGGAACAAGAGATGGGTGGCATCACCGGGCCTTGCCTACGTTGCTTCACAGTTCTACGGAGCTGCATGATTGTTTGCCTGCGCGCCTTCGGGCTTCTCAGAGCTGCACCCCAGTCACAACCTCTTCTATGTCTCCAGGAGGCTGCATGGGAACGGGGTCTACCTCCTCCTCTTCCGGAGGGGCCTCTCAACCCACCTTCTCGCCTCCACCGGCAACCCGCCTACTGAGTAGATACAACACCAAGAGCCACGGAAAGCAGGAACTAGCCAAAGGACTGCTTGAAGACCCCTCTGAGGAGGAGACTCGACGTCGAACGCACCCCCCCCCTGACACGCCACTCAGCGAAGAACCGCTCCTCGGATTGCGGCTGCAAGATTCTGAGCCTCAAAGCCAAGCCGCCGGCCAGCAGCACCATCAGCCGCAAGGCAGTGCTGCGCGCAGGTCCTCCAGCTGCTCTCTCCTCGGAGACAGTTGCTGCTGGAGAAGGCCGCAACTTCCCTCATGCAGCAGCGGCACCAGCAGGACGCTCCCACACACAGCTGCCTCGCAGGAAAACAAAGGGAAGCAGCACTGCAGTTCGTGTAGGCCAGAGAACCGCGTGGCGGCGGGGTATCCTGGAAGGGGCTGGTCCTGCTTTCAAACGGTAAGCGACATGCTCGTTTAGATGCTCTCCACCAAAATGGACAGACACGCTTCAAATTTTTACTGGTGTCTAGAACGAAGGAGCACGAAGCTTCGCACCTCGCGTGTACTGGCTGGGCCTTCCCGAGCTGTTTGATGGTTGTCGTGGTGTGACAGATGAAGGTTGCAGCTGAAAAAGGTCCTTGTAGCCAGGGCCTCTTACTGCGTATGTCCTCCTTTCCTGCCGCAGTACCCCTGCGAGACATCCCAAAGCAACGGCGGCGAGTGCTCAGCGGAAGTTCCTTCCTCCACAGCGCAACTGCTCCAGCTGGACGCCTCCAGCCCTGTTCTTGTAGCTGAGACGCAACAACCGGAGGCTGTAGCGCTCGCATGCTCTTTGAAGCCAAAAGGGAAGCCAGAAGACGGGGGGGAACTTGAAAGCGGCTCTCTCTCAGGGCGAGAGGTTGCTGCATCTGGAGCCCCCACATTACCCGTTGGCGACCAGTGGCTAGCAGACGCGCATCTGGTAAAGCCTTCCTGTTCAATGCCTTCATCCCCCAACGTCCTTCCTGCTGCTGATGCCCGTGTCGATAATTTTCTAGCGTCTGCTGGTGAGGGCTCTGTCTCCGCATGCGGCGCTATCGCCGAGAGGACGGCCTTGGGAGAGGCTTTTTCTGCGGCCTCCATTGCTTCCAGTGAAGGATCAGGGGAGATCTGGAAAGGGTGCAGGAGCGACACAGATTCAAAAGCGCCGCAAGGGGCTTCCCGCGGTCTGTGCTCGGAGCAGGTTGTTCAGCTGCTCCCTGCAGGGGGCACGTCCGTCTCCGAAGGATCCTCAGAACCTGAAAAAAAGCAGCGGGACACATGTGAGCGCTACCCTGGATCAGGTGTTTTCTGTGCCGGGAGTGGGGCCCCGCAGCCGCAGGGGAAAAGGTCTATTTCCAGTGCTGGTGGCGATGACGTTCTTCCCAGGGCATCCAGACTATATGAAGCCGGCGCTGTGCTCTTGCCAGAAACAACAAGGCCTCGAAAGACAAGGAGCGCATGCGTTGTAGGGGGCTGGGGGGATACAGAGGATCTCTCGCCAGTGCCGCAGAAGCACGGAGGGTCCTCGGCTCCTCCTTCTTCACTGGAGAAATCGCTTAGGCCGCAGGAAGGGCAGTCGCTAGGTGGAGGAGCAGCCAACGGTGCAGAAGAGGCGCCTCAGCAGCAGTTCCCCGTGGAAGCGAGCAGCGCTCCCAACGAGGACATCTCCTCCCCCGCTGTCGTATCCACAGCCGAGGAGTCTCCTTGCAAGAAGCAGTCAGGCCTCGCCATGGGGCCTCCCCTGGGGGAAGGCTCAGCAAATGGCAGCGAATGGATCCCCAGTCAGGTGGAGGCGCAGCCCGCTGGCTGCGTTTCTAGTCTTGGAACGTCTCCGACAGCGATGGCGCAAGGCTTGCATCATGCTCAGGATGAGGCACTCGCAGCGGCGGGCTCAGGGGGCAGCACAAGCGGCATGGCAGAGAGCCATGCAGTCCCTGATTCTTCGCCTTCCCCTTGCGTGCTCACAGTGGAGAGTGTGAAACATGAAGGCGCCGTGCCGGACGCTGCGGGGTCTCTCCTGTCCGTCACAGGATCCAGTGATGCTTCTGGAGTCGGTGCGGGGGGAGGATGCGGCTACAAACGCAAGGGAGGCGTTGCCTGCTGTCTCGCTCCTCCAGCGCAGCAGCGGCTTGTAGGCTTGCAGCCTCGCCCACCCCCCCCACGCGTCTACCACGTGGTTATGTGCACTCGGAGATACTGGCGTGTGGAATGGGTGTCTCCCGAAACAGGTCGGCGCGTCTACAAGCACTTTGGAGAGAATCGCTACGGAGGAGGTGATCGGGCAAGGGAGGTGGCCGTCAAGTTCTGGGCAGAAGTGCGTAAGCGCAGTGCGGATGGAGTGGAAAGGGGAGAGTGGCAGGGTCTGACCGAAGTGACACGAAGAGTTCGTGAAGAAGGCGTTGAAGGCATCTTGGAGGAAGTCAAGGCTGCCCCCTCCCCAACGCACGCCCAACAGTCCGTAGCTGCCACCGGTACGGCCCTTCTCGAGGCTGAAGGGGCCTCAACAGACGAGGGCCCTCTGATGTCAAAAAGCTCGACGGCAGCCATGGAACAGACAAGACAACAACAAGGTCAAAAACAAAGCAGCCAAATGGAAACGCGGGGAAGCTTTGCCGCTGGAGCCATAGGTGCAACGACGTTCGGTGTTTTTGCGTCTTCGCCGCATCAACAGAACCAGCAAATGAAGCCTGCTGAGGGATACCGTCAACGGGGACCTACCCTGAGGGCTTCAACGAGAAGCCGGGTTCTGCGCGAGGCCTCTAAGGACTCTACAGGTACAGCCACTAGCCGCCTCACGCAGCAGCACCAAACCCACGGCGAGGAGAGCTCCGAGCTGGCCGAAGGGCGGCTGACGGCTTTGGAGCTGCATGCGGCGACTGGCGAAGATGATGCAGGTAAGGGACACAGCTCGAGCCAGCAGCAGCACTCACCCCAGCCCCCGCATCAACAGCAGCACCAGGAGCAAGAACCCCAGCAGCAACAGCAACCACAGATCAGTTCGAAGCCATTCCCTCCTATTCACGGCTTCGGAGACACCCTCAGCACTGTTGGCTACTCGCAGCCCCAGCAGGCGGACGAGGGGATTGCTCCAAATTGTGAGGTGCCGGCGCATCAGCAGCCCTTCCAAGGGGGTCTTGATACCCACGGGATGATGACGCAGCGAGGTGAGTCTGCGCTTGCCAACGGCGCCCAAGGACTAGGCTCGAACGGTGTGCCATCCGAGGCTGTGGCAGGAGGCATTACTTCCGCCAGTGCGGATTGGGGCAGCCAGGTCGTGCACCAGCCGACGCCGCTATCACCGCAACTGCCGTTGTACGGCTCAGCCTTGGGAGCTACTCAGGGAGGGGGCGCCGGGCAGTACTGGGGTTCCGCTGGCGGCTCTCAAGGAGCGCAGGAAATAGGGGACGACTCAGGAGGGGGGAAGCAGCAGGGAGGGGGGAAGGACTTGCCTTTGAAGCGCAAAGGCAGCGGCAGCACCTGCTCTGCTCTTGGCACGCCAGAACCCGTTACAAAGAGGTATCGCGCTGAAGGGCACGAGCCAGCTCTCCCAGACGCGGCCTCGTGGATACCGTCCCAGCTCGCCTATTCAGGCAGTGGAGGCCGTCCCCTGACCAAAGGCGCCATCGGCAGTCTCCCTTTACTTCCGACGGGGTCCTGTGGCACGATAGGATACGAGACACCCTGTCAGAGCCCCCTGGCTCCGCTGGTGGACTTCCCTCTGGGCACAGTGGATGCCACAACCGCTGCCTCCCTTTCGACTGGCGCATCGCACGTGCTTTCAACGGAAGCCAGCCGGACTCGCTGGAGTAGCTGCTCAGGCGACACGCCACTCTCCATGTCCAGCGTGCAAAGCCCCCTAGCCTTCCAGGACCTGCGTGGCGGCAATGGGCCCCAGATGACCATTGAGAATTACCCAGCAAATCAAGCCGCTTCCACAGGGGGAGGCGGAGGCGCAGTGTACCCCTCAGCGCTTCATTTTGCGCACTGCGACCCCCAGTTAGCCTTGCAGCAGCAGCAGCACCAGCACCAGGTCTTACAATCAGCCCCCTCTGGACTAGAAGGCTTCCCCCTCAGCTGTACAGGGGATGCGGCGTACCGCCCGCTGCAGCAGCAGTTTTCCACAGCCGTGCAGACTCCTGGAGTTCGCACTCCCACAGCAGGCTCATCTGTCTCCTGTTCTAGACGATCTCGCTGTGGTGTCACTCCAGCGCGCAACAAGGGACAATCCAGTGGCGCCTCGGGACGCAGCGGCACTGGGGGTGGTAGTGGAGGCCATGGCACCCGTACAATCGGAAGGATCTACTCGCTGCTTGTTCGGGGGGTTCGATGTTGGCGAGCCGAGTGGCATGATCGCGCCAGCGGGCACCGCAAGACACGCCAGTATGCCGCTCCCAAACACGGGGAGCAACAAGCGAGGGCCTTGTGCCTCCAGGCACTGTGTCAGGCTAGGAGTGTTCCTGCACAACTCCTAAGAGAAGCCCAACAAACATTTGCCTACGAACCAACTGCCTCCCCTGAACAGAACTCGGAGCCCGAAGACGCGCCTGCAGAGCCAGTGCCTTCCGCATCGACGTATACACAGCCGCTCCAGCAGCAGCACAACCAGCTAATGCAGCCGCCTCCCATGGACCAAGGCCTCCATCTGCTGCACACACAACAACAGTTCCAGACAGGAGAAGGCTGCTCCAGTAACAGCTACGCACAACATGGCTACTTCTGGCCCTCCGCGGGGGGACCCTCCTGCAACGCCTTCGGAGATCCTTCAGTTATGATGGATATGACGGACCAGCAAAAGTATGGGAACGGGGGAGAGCTGCTTCAACACCACCTGCAATCCGGCTTGCTCGAGGGAGGAGTAAGCCTGTCCCTCGAAGCTGCCCCCCCCGCAGACTCAACTGCTGAGGAAAACCCTCAAGCCCATCCTTCTGGCACCCGCAACTTATTCTCTAAAGACGAGATCTCTAACCAAGTCGCTTCCGCCTCCTTTGGAGGTGGCCGCTACGCCGGCAGCTGCCCAGGTGAAGCATCAGCCCTATGTAATAGTGGTTTCGATGGCCATCATGGCCTTCAAGACTGCATTGCCTCCAAGCGCGAATACCCCGAGGCGCCACTAGCTCCGCTGTCGTCGCTCGTTTGCGGCGGTGCTACCAGCGGGGGAGGGCATCAAGGCCCCCCCCTTGTTGTGACTCCTCAGCAGGTGTGCGGCTTCCCTAGGACTGGTGAGTCTGCTCCAGTCATGACCAAGGAGGAGCCCACCGTTTGCGGGAACGCGGGGCCAGTTGCGCCAAGCACCGGCGTTGATGGAGAAAGGGCAAACTCATGGGACCCCACGTTCTTAATTGCACAATGAGTTCTCTCCCCAGAGGAGGCCTCTGCAGGATAGCAGGCCTCCCTTGCGAAGGCATGTGTAGTTGCAGCCGTACCCCTACCTCACCTAGCTAGCAGGCTGAGAGGAGACTCTGGTGGCAGTGGCTGCGTCTCTAATCCCTAGCAGCAGTCGTAGCACCTCGCCTGCTGCTCGTGTTGTTGATACGGCAGCGAAGGCCCTGCCCCTGGGGTAACCTTCGAGGCTTTCGCAGCAGTCCCCCCAAAGAGCTCACCCCCGAATAGGCTTCTCCATCGCGGAAGCACTAAACGGATCTGGAGGCACCCTTGTGGACAGCGCCAAGGTCTCCCCTCGTCACACCAGCGTTCTCTGTTTGAAAAGGAGTAGCTTGTTTGTGTAGCCTCCTAGGGCTGCCAAGCTCCGTCGTGTTTGCTACTTCCGTTCGTCTCCGCCCGCTATCAGTGGCAATTGTTTTTTGTTCAGGAAAGTTCCTGGCCACTCAGTTCTCCCCCCTTACCCCACCCCTTCCTTTCCCCCACCTGCTGTCCCCCCCGTCTGCCTTAGGTAGGTATTACGGCCTGCAGCAGACAGCTGCTCGCCTCAGTTACGTTCGTCCTCCGCTCCATCAACGAGCCCCTGAGAGCCACGCGCATCGCCCAGAGGAGATGTCAGCCTTAAGCGCCGGCAGAGTTGAGCGGATGTGCCTTCGTACATGTGTGGATACACTGGCGGCAGGTAGGCCGCTCAAGACCGAAGTGACCCCCAGTGCAGGGATTTGGATGACTACGTTCATGCAAACAGAGAAGGGCTTTATGTCCCTCCCCGAGAATCGGTTCTTGCAGAAAAGCGCTGAGAAGTCGCAGAACACCAGATTGAGGGATTATTTGCCGTGGGCAAACTCGCGAGTTCAAGTGCCCCACAAAGAGTGGAGAAGGCTTTGTTGAGAGCTGCCTAGTATATCAAGGCGGCCTCTCTTGCTGTCATTCTGGCGGCGTCCAGTTAGTGATCCCCTAGTAAGGGAAATACAAAAGCCCGTGGGGAGTCGTAATACACGAATAGTGCTGCAATTTTCGAGCCGCTCGCCCTTTTTGTGCATTCCGCTTGCGGAATGACACGGGAGCGGCAACACCCTCATACGTCAGTGTCCCCGTTGCCCTCTGTACCAACCCACATACAGACAGAGCCGCACCAACCCCTTGCCGGGAAGGGGCGTACCGCAGGGAGGAATGCTTGAGCTACCCTTAATAATAAGGTCCTTTTTAGATGTGCTACAAGTGCACCCACTCCCACACACACACACACTCCAGTAGGGTGTCTAGACACCTAAGCAGCGCACATCCGTTTGCCTCTGCCTCGTTCTACTGCACACGTACACACCCTCCTCCACTAGATATGCATCCTTAGAGACTTTCCCAAAGAGGCCTAATGCCAACCACGCGAAGAAGTGACCCCTTCTCCAACCCCCGGCCCTCCCCGTCCAGCGGGATGTACAGCCGTACAGCAATATGACAGAAAGCACTCGTGCCCTAGGACTGGGCAGCTGCACTGAGGAATTTTGAAAGAGTGCTCTCACTGTTTCTGTATAGATGCTGTGTCTACTGCTATGACCATAGTGGCAAACCTGTTGCAGCGATGGCCCTCCCAACAAGCTCCAATCTATGCTACTAGGAGATGCTGCCGCATAAAAAAGCACCAAAAAAAGCAGCATGCAAGCGGAGCTTCGGGCCTCCGTGGCGTTCTTCTTGGGCCCTAGCCCGCTTACGACCATATTTTAACAATGCCATCCCTCCCCGCTGTAGCTAAAAACAGATCTGACTGCCCTATGACAGCCAGGCCCGTTATGGCATCCCTGTGCATCGGCGAGGGCCCCCTGAACCCTATGAATGCATCTGAAGCATCCTCTGGAATCCACGCAGGGGCCCAAGAGGAGATGGTGGATCGTGAAGAGGGCGATACACAGCAGCACCCCCCCCCAGGAGCCCTGCAGCTTGTGCCGTCTATCGTGACCAGTCCCTTCCCATTTCGCCTCGAGTCCCCTGCCCCTCCGGATGGGGAGCCGCTGTATCCTCCAGCTTCCGAGTCTGCTGACGATCGAGCGCGTGTACAAGGCGGATCCTTTTCCGCAAGTGCTCCCAGGTTTCCAGGCCCCCGACCTGCTGCAGCAGCAGCAACAAACTGCATGAATCGCTTACCTTGGGCTGAACGGCTGCACACTTGCTGCAGCACGTGCGTCCCCTCGACAGTAAGAGAAGCCATGAGAGAGAAAGCGGAATCTTCTCTGGCCCTGCAGCCACATGCGTTGGGGGGCCCTAACACGCAATAAGAGCTGACGAGGTCGTGGTCTAGAAAGACCGTATTCGGGGGGGAAATCGGTGCCGCAGCGACCCCTGTAGGCTCGCCAACTTGCTGCTGCTGTTGTTGCCGCTGCTGTTGTTGCTCTTGTCTCTCCCCCAGGTTCGCAGCAAAGACAGCGCGCTCTTCTGCCAAATCCCAGTAGTGCACACAGCGGTCCTCTCCCGCGGTTAGTACGAAACCAGTGGGGCCCCGTAATGGGGAAGGAGACCACAGACAGCAGGGCGTATGAAGGGCTGCTCGATCAGCTACACGACGCAGAGATCCTGCTAATCCTGCATTCTGGGGTAACAAATGACTGGCTGCCGATGGCATGCGCAGAGCCTCCATCGGCACAGGAACAAGCCGAGGCACTGCACAGCCTTGAGCTGCCCCAAGGGCTCCAGCCTCTGCCGCGGCTGCCTTTATTGCAGCGTCCGCAAAGCAGGAGGTGTTGTATCCCCTCACGACAGAGCCGTCCATCAGATCGAGGAGGAGCAGGGGGAAGGCCCCCTGCTCCAAGAGGACCACCAGGCAGCAGGTGGGCGTGTCGTCTGGCTGCAAGCAGGGGGAACCGATGCCTGCAGCGATCTTCGCGCTGCCAACAGAGATCGCGGCTACAGAAGGGTCCACAAAAAGCAAGTGCTTGATGGGTGCTGCTGGCTGCAGCAGCCAGGCACTCACTGGCACCTGCATGCGAAGGTCGTAGTGCAAAAGCAAGCCCCCCGTAGTCCCCACAACTGCGCAGCGAGCATCTAAACCGATAGCCTCCGCCGAAGGAGCTCCAAACCAGGGAGGAAGATGCGCAGCGAAGCACGGCGAAGCGGTGCGGAGATCCCAGCCCCCGAACAAGCCGTTTCGCAGAGCATACAAGAGGAGCTGCTCCAGTGCAGTATCTTGGTGACACAAACACGCAATACCGTTGCCTCCCGCGGCAGCTGCTGCTGTCGACGCGCGTGCAGCTGCAACCCCTGCAATCGCACGCTGCGCAGAGGCTCCCTCCGCCGCCGCTCTGTGCATGAGCCTGGACAGAGACACTGCAGCTCGTGCAGCAGCGGCGCTCTCTTTAGGCCTTAAAGCATGCACACCCTTGTCGCCTTGCTGAGACCGCTGGAGGATCTCCAGGAGCACGCAAGGCTGCGCTTCTAGAGGCGCGGGAAAAAGCCGCGGAGTCTGCAAGCGCAGCACTGCCCCCGGGATGGAGGAGGAGGAGGCAGCAGTGCTGCTGCAGTTGCTGCTGCAGTTGCTGTTGCCGCTGTCAAGCCGCACCAAATGACAAGCCCCGTCCGACGTTCCTACGGCCAGGGTTTTAGTGTTCTGAATGAGGCACTGCGCCGTCAGGTGAAGCTGAGAGGGCAGCTGCCAGAAGCCAACGATGGGTGCTGCATGCATGCATGCATGCAGCCCACACACAGCAGCACATACATTATTCTGCTCCCCACGAGAAATTCGAAAAAGCGGTTTAAATCCGGGCGCCATGCGGCCTGGGGTGGCATCGTGGTTCGAGAGCGAAGAAAGAGGGGAAGAATCCCTTCGGGCGCAAGGAAGTGTTGTTCTCTATGTGGTGAGCTGTGCGGCGAAACGAAGACTTACGGCGTGTGGCAGCCAGTAGCGAGACGGCCTTCCAGACGCGTATCTCGCCCCCTCGAAGAGCAAGGGGAGCAGCACAAAGAAGACGGCCATCGTCAGTGGCTGCAAGACTCAAAACGCCGCCTCCTCGGCAGCAGAGAGCCTCGAAGTCGTTGAAGCTACGAAGCCACAGGCCCTTAGGTTTCCAGCAGGACAGATCTGGCAATCCCGCAATTCCATTTCCAGAGAAGATTGACGCCCCCTTTCTGTCGAGATTCGTGCCGATTGCTTGCTGCGTTGCTGCCCAGTCTTGCAGACCTGCAGGGAGAGCTCTCCCCATGCGAGAACTTGCCGTCGATCCTAAAGCCACGGGAAGCAGTTGCACCCCACTGCTGTCGGCGGTAAGCCCCCCGACTACTGTTGAGACAGTCCTCCACGCAGGCTTCCCTGAGAGTCTCACTGACGCAGCGCCTGCAGCAGCAGCGCTGCCGCTGCCGTTAGCAAGGAGAGTGGCTTGGGAGCCTCCAAGAGCAGCAGCGGCGACAGCGGCAGGGTGGGGGGGAGGAGTAGAGGGTCCTGTCGAGAGTCTCCGTGCAAGGGTGGAGTGCCGTCTCTCCGCGGAAGGAAAGGCATCCACGGAGTCGGTGAGACGCTGCTGGTAAGGATAGAGACTGAAAAGCCCCTCGTCGAGCCGCTGCAGTCTGCCCACCTCGAGAGAAGGCCGCCTCGGCAAGCCCAACACGACACACCTCCAGTCTCGCTGCAGAGGCGGGGGAACCCCTGTAGAAGTGATGCTGCCTCTGTAGGGAGACAGAGGGGGGGCACTCAGAGGAAGACGCTTCCCACTTGCCGCAGCTGCCGCTGCTGCAGCTGCTGCCGTCGCTGCGGCTGCTTCTAACCACCAGGCGCTGCTGGGGAGCTCGTGAGAAGGGCCTCGTCGAGCTCTCAGCAGCACCTGCTTCAGCGGTGCAAGCGCACCAGAAGAGCCAGGAACCTCTGCCGTCAGGGCAGCAACTGCAGCGGCTGGAGTCGTAGCCGCCAGGAGCAACGCCAGATAGGCCCCCGACACTACGGGGGGCCCACAACTTGCTTGTATTGAGAGCGAGGAGCTGTGCTGCAAGGCAGGCAGACGCGAAAACACACCCTTTCGGAGATGGCTGCAAGGTGCGGGAGGCGTGGAGGCAGCGGAAACGCACTGGCACACAGGCTGAGGCATGGTGCAAGCGGAGGGGGGAGGGGGGAAGGGTTAGGAGGTGAGGCCTCCTTCTCAGAGCGTTTTCCAGAGACGCCGAAAAAATTTCAAGGCCAGAAAATACGTGATAAGAAAGACACGTCACAGCGCCTTCTGCACGCCAGATCCTAACGGCAACAGCAAAAGCAGCAACAGCAAAAGCAGCAGCAGCAAAAGCAGCAGCAGCAAAAGCAGCAACAGCAAAAGCAGCAGCAGAGTCCAAGCATCTAGAGAATACCCCAATTTCTGCTTACCTTGTTGTGGTGTGTAGACAGCCCTAGGAGGGCTTGCAGGAGCGACGGCTGTGGGGGGTATGTCCACAGATACCTTCCCAAGGCACCGGCAATTGCAGAGGCTGCAGCAAGTGCCGCTCGTGTTGCTGATTTTGCAGCAGCACTAGAGACCTCGGCTGGACACATACCATGCAGAGTGTGTGCGAGCGACAGTTGCGGCGGCTCCAGTGACTGAGTCGTCTTGCAGCCGCCGCCCTCTTTGATGTTGTTCGGGGTGCTGTGTGTGCTGACCACAGTCGCACGGGCTTCCTCCGGAAAGAGACAGCGCTGCAAAAGCAACAGCTGGTGCCTGAGCACGAGCTGCATGACATGCGGCAGAAGCGTCTCTGAAAGCAGGCCCCAAAGAGAGACGCGAGTCAGCGGCGACGTGTTGGGGGGAGTGGGAGCCAAGCGCATGGCACTGAGAACTTGACGGCAGGGAGGCCCCTGTGGCAACATGTACCGAAGAGCTTTTTCAGCTGCAAGGAGAAAAAGCACGCGCGGCGATTGCACTGTGGTGGAGCCGCATCATGCGCAACGCAAGGTATTGTAGGCAATGCAGAATTTGAACGCCCCAAGGCTGCGCAGAGCCTCACGCACCTGCCTGCCCGTTCCCCAAGCTGCGGTGGGAGGCTTCGAAGGCATGGCTAGCTAGCTAGCTAGCTAGCTAGCTAATAGAGCGCAGGGAGGGAAGGGGTCCAACGGGACCTACCCTGCTTGAAATACACGCTGCAGCACAAGGGGCGGCTGTCTCCGTTAGCAGAAGCCTGCAGCTGCGCTGCTGTGTCCAGTGTCGCATCCAAGAATCCTAGAGTTTCCACGGCAGAGCCGATTGGATAATGAACGGCTGTGACCAACGAGCCGTCTTCGTCTGCACTCGCTGCGGCCGCTGCGTTTGCTGCTGCTGCCTGCCGCCTTGCAAGCAGCGTGGGGAGCAGCAGCAGCAGAGCGTGTCGATTTGCTTTGCCAATATGCCACAGAAATCTCGCGAGCTCCAACACAGGAGGAGGACGCAAGGAGCCAGCCTCGCTGCCCGTGCTTGCATGGACTCCCCCCTTAGCCACCTGCCGTTCCTCCTGCAGACTGCTCCTGTCTCTTGGCCTCTGCACAGGAGACACCCCGTAGTGGACAGGCGCGACAGAAGCACCAGCTGCCTTCTCCAAGTTCAAAAGGACAGACTGCCAAGAGAACCCCACACGAGGCACCTGCTGCCCCTCCAAGGGGCCTTTAACAGGGATAGGAGGCCTTATCCCAGATGGAGTGCTGCTGCCGCGAGGAAGAATGCTCTCACAACAGCTGTTGCTGCTGCCGTCGCTGCTGCTGCTCCCACAGCTGCTGCTGCTGTTGCTGCCATCGCTGCTGCTGCACTCAGCATCGCAGGGTTCCAGGAGCTTTTGCGTAGAGCTGCGTCTGAGCCGTCGCTGGACCGTTTCCGCAGCCTTCAGCGCAGGCGTCGAAAAGAGGAGTGCTAGCGCCTGCTCGCTCAGTCTGCCGCGCATCTGCTGATGCAGCAGGCCCAGCAGCAGCTGTCTGGACAGCGGAGGTCGCAGGAAAGCAGACACCCGTTCCACCAGCAGCACGTCGTCGCTGTGCCGTCTCAAGACAGGATGCAGGAGGGGCATCAAAAGCGCGTACGTCTGCACAGGACCCCAACTCTTTTGTATGGCCGCAAGGAGATGCAGCAACACTCCCCGCAGCAGGAGGGACGGGAAAAGCAGCAGAGGCACAACTCTTCGGCCCAACAGCGCGTAAGTGCCTCTGGAGGAAGGACGCAGAAGATCGTCTGCTGCAAGCTGGGCAAGCGCAGTGACGGCTGCCACTATAACCTCCTCCTGCTGATCCAGGAGACACTGCTCACAGCAAGGGACGATGCAGCTCTCTGCGCTCCCGGGAAGCGCAAAGCTCCCGAGACTCCCCAGCGACCGAATGACTGCTGCCCGCACGGCTGCGCAGGTGTCATTGAGTTGCACAATGAGGTACGGCAGCAAAAAGCTGTGAGTCTTTTGAGGTCCCAGCACGGCAGCTAGCAGAGGAACTGACCGCAACAGCGCCAGGCGTTGCTCGAGGGGGCGACAAGTCAGCTGCTGCTGAAGCGTTGGAAGAACAGCCGCATGCAACTGCTCAACAGCTTCCATCAGATGCTGCTCCGCAGCCTCCGAAAGGCCCTCCCTACGACAGGCAACTCTGACGCCTGCAGGGGACCCTGGGGAGACACACGAAATCGGAGATGCAGCCGTCCCTGCTGCTGCCTCTGATTCTGCTATTTCTGCTGTTGCTAGTTCTGCTTCTGCTAGTTCTGCTTCTGCCCCTGCTTCTGCTACTGCTTCTGCTACTGCTTCTGCTTCTCCTGTTTTTTCTCTACGCCTTTCTGGGAGCTCAGCCGCAGTAGAGAAGCCCCCAGGAGCTTCTCCAGCGGCTACGGCGACCTGGCGAAAGCTTTTCTGGTTGCTTTCAGAGGTTTTTGCGCTGTCTGCTGGAGGAGAAGCAGCGCCAGCAGCGTTGCCTGGTGATGCTGGTGCGCAGAGGCGGGTAGCGTTTCCCGCTGAGAAGCTCTTGCGTGGCAGTACAGCACTTGGAGCTCTTCTTTCTCCTTCTCTCGCGGCAGTGGCTATGCGGCAAGACGCTGGCAGCGGAGCTGCTGGTGGCTCAGTGGGGGCAGCTGCTGACCCCCCTTGCAGGCGTTGCAGCAGCTGCTGCCGTCCCTGCTGCTCTCGACGACTCCTCAAGACAGCCTGAAAGTGCAGACAGGCACGGACTGCAAGGAGCATCAGCGGAAGCGTCTCAGTCACAGCCACGCGGACAGCGGGATCGGGATCGGCCGTGCTGAGGCGGTGCAAAGCAGGCAGGATGTATCCACAGAAGAGAGCAGCTGCGTCTGCCTGCGGTGCCCCCTTCTCCACCCCCTCGTTGCGGCTGATGAGCCGCTGCCGCTGCTGCTGCTGCTGCCGCTGCTGCCGCTGCTGGGATGAAAAAACACCCTTCCCGCTACATCTGGACGGCACGCCGGCTCTGAGGAATCCCGAGCAAGCAGCGTCCTCTTCCCCACGAGGAAGAGGATTTTGGCTGCCGCATGCGGAGCCGCAAAAGGCGCAAAGACGTCTCTGCAAGCGAAGTCTGGAACAGGCTGCCTCGTGGTGCAAAGCAGCATTCAGCTGCAGGAGTGCGGCGGCGAGAGCCTTGACAGCTGCGGCTCTAACAACGGGGAGAGGGTCCCCTAGATGGTGGGTAAGAAAGGGCAGCAAAGACTCCAGGAGCACCTCGGTAGTGGCGATTCGAGAAAGAAAGCGCAGCAAAGAGATGCCGCACGCGCGAATCCGCGGACTGCTCGTGTGTTGCAGCGCAAGACCAATAATTTCTGTCGCTAGGATGGTTGCGCCGCTGCGCATGCATCCCGCGCAGGGAGTTTCACCGCCTTCTCTAGCCTCCACGGCTCTCTCCTCGGAAGTGGCAGCTCCAGCAGGCAGCAACTGCACGGGGATAGCCAAGTCCAAGCTCACAGACACGGCTGCTGCAGACGCAGCCTCAGAGGCAAACAGCTCGGTGGGTACCTCCGGGGGGCCTAAGATCGGAGACACAGTCTGCCACTGCGGATACACTGGAGAAAGCGGCGTGCTGCAGTCTCCCCCCCAAGAAGACACCCCGCCTTCAGACGCCACTGCAGTGCCGCCAGCCTCAGCGACTGCAGCGGCAGAGGGGCCGCTGTCCTCTCCCCGCTGCCTAAAGAGCTCATCGTACAGCCGAAGCTTTCGCTCCTCGAGCTCCTCCAGGACGTCTACTGCAGGCTGAACGCACAGCGCAGAGGCTGCAATGAGAAAAGGATGTAATTCCAACGTAAGGCTCGAAGAAAAACCCCCCAATGCCCTCCCTTCCCCCCCCGTCCGCCCCCACACGCACACGGGGTAATCGGCTGCAGAAACGCGCAGGAGAGGGAGAGGAGAGACAGCAGAAGGCGAGGCAGCTTTTGCATGTGCATCCCTTCGCAGGTCAAGGATGCACATGCAAAAGGTCGAGCTGGACGCAGCCATGCGCAAGCAAGCACTAGAAGACGTGTGCAGTGTGCTTCGGCAAGTCTGCGACACACTGCCTGAAGACCCCTGGGGAGCGGTGGCTGCTGCGGCAAGCTGCAGCAAGCCACCAGCGCTTTCTAGAGTCGCTATTCTACGTATATGTGTAGCCAGGTGTATATGTGTAGCCAGGAAAGCCAACAAGCCACGTACCCGCTTGCCAAGGACGGTGGCATTGTAGCTGCTTTCCCAGATACTCATGAGTCCCCTGCCATACTGCCGCGCATTCAAGGAGCTTAAAACGGGGTGTGGCAGACGGCTCGTGAGAGCTGCTGCAGCGGCTGCCTCCTGAGCTGCCTCTGCCACGAGAAGCGACTCCTCCGTTGTGGCAAGTCCGCCTCCTCCTGAGGCTGCTGTAGAGGCTGCAGGCAACACTCGCGAATCTCGCTGCGCAGTCAGCAGATTCACCGTAGCTGCAGCAGATGCCGCTGCAGCATCCGCAGCTGCAGCCCCTCCTGCACTCCATGCATGCAGCATCGCGCCAGCGACAGGACAGTCCTGTGGCATCGTGATTGCCATATTGAGGACGGTCTGCTCAAAGCGGAAAGCAAAACCAGACAGACATACAGACATACAGGCAGAGAGAGAGACACATACACATACATATATATATATATATTTATACTTTATACACATACACACATTCGCATACATATATATATATACATATTTATATTTATACATATTTATATTTATACATATTTATATTTATACACATACATACATATACACACATACACATACACACAGACACATATATATATGTACACATTTGTATTTATACACATACATACATATAGACATACACATATATGTATACATACAAATATTTGTAGAACCCACAATAGCAACGCATAGCCAGTTCTAAAGCTGTTGGCCGTAGATTTCCTACTGACGGGTTATGCGTAGAGCGTGTCAAGTCACTGCCACACACCTGATGCGCAATGCAGCCATCCACTTCCAGAGTTTCTCGTCCTGCGGCTTCGCGCAGCAGCTGCAGCAAGAGCTCTTCATTCGCGTCGTTTCTGGCCTGTGCTGCGGAGGCTCGGAGATGCTGCTGCTCCTGCTGCTGCTGCTGCTGCTGCTGCTGAGGTCTCTGTTCTAGGAGGGCGAGACAGAGGTCAGGCAGGTGTTCTTTCAGCAGCAGAATGCGGAGATCTGGCTGCTGGTAGGCTGGATGCAGCAGCACGGTAAAGAGGCACAAGAAATAATTGGCAAAACAGGGGGGAAACACGTTCTGCATCCACAGCCGCAGCGTATCCTGCGCCGACAGTCGCATGTGCGGCAGTTGCAGGATTCCCCCGTGCAACAGCAATGCCTGCATGCGCCGACAAGAAATTCCTTCGAACAGATGCAGCAGTGCTGCAGGGGGTGACGGGGATGTTGGGCAGCTGGACAGACCAGGAAGGGAAGCAAACAGCGATGCATGCGGTGCAGCAGCGTTCATTGCCGCATTACCGGTTGCAAAACTAAAGGCACGGCGAGCTATATTGCTGCTGCTGCTGCTGCTATTGCTGCTGCTGCTGCTGCTCCCCGGGGCAGCAGCCGCTTGGACGTTCTGCTGAGCCTTCAAAAAAGAGACCTTGCCTTCGGTCTGTTGGTGTGGAATCTCATGTTGTTGCTGTTGTTGTTGCTGTTGTTGTTGCTCCTGTTGCTGCTGCTCCTGTTGTTGCTGCTCCTGTTGCTGCTGCTCCTGTTGCTGCTGCTCCGCAGCAGCAGCAGCAAGCCAATCCCTGAGCTCAAGGAGGTGTAGGAGGTCGATGACGTCTGCGCCTTCCAGCAGGATCTCGGCTAAGGTGCAGTTGACTGAGAACATTTCTGCTGAGTGTTTCTCTATGAGAGCTTCGGCTAGCGGTCGGGGAGCCTCGTCCTTCTCTCCGAATCTGAAGAACAATGGGAAACCAACCCTGTGAGAGCGACTGACTGTCTTCCGAGCAGCTCCAACAATGCCCCCAGTAGCCTCGCATTTCCTCCCTAAGGATTTGTCCTTCGGAGAGGGGCGAAAACGGAGGAAGGCAAAAGCAAGCAATGCAGCTCGAGCACAAAAAAGCAACTGCTTCCTGCCGCCTCTCTCGCTTTACAGAGGGAGATCTACGCGCCAGCAGACGCGTGTGAATCCCTAGGGGGCAATTATCTGTGCGCTGGTGCCTGCCTACGGCTAGCGGCACATTCAAACTGAATGAAAGGCGTCTCCAAAACGCAGCTGGCATGCTGCACGCAGATGGACCCCACGGAATCACTGCGTGGGGGGAGGAAGCGGGGAGAGAGTGAGCGAGGGGAGGGGGCAGCCAAAGAGGACAGCCTTCTTCGAGGAACGGGGGGAACTCACCGCTCAGGGGCGAGGTAGCATCTGGATCTTTTGGAAGATTCAAAAAGCAGACTGAAAGCCCGCATGTCTCGCAGCCTTAAATCTACGTCCTTCCATGGTGCTGCATCTGTAAGGAACGCGTGTAAGGACGAGGTTAGTCCCATGTTCTCTGTCTTAATGTCGCAGTGCGTGAACCCCAGGCTGTGTAGCTGTACAATGCCGGCAAGCAGCTGGAAACAGATGTACAGCAGCTGCGTTGGTGTGGGTGCAGGACGCGCATGCAGCCTTTCCCATACGGATCCGCTCAAATAGCGTCGCAGCAATAACGCTGATCGTTCTGCTAGCAGGAGACGTTCATCTGGACACCTGTGCGAGGGGCAGACGAGGGAAAGAAGGAAAGCAGCAGTAGCAGCAGCCGTGGCATGCACAGACACATCAGAGGGACCAGAATACACGCAGAAACATGCAGACAGATAGACGGCGAGCGACACACACACACACACACATGCACATGCACACATACTTTGCACTTATGGCAGAGTGGGGTGGGGGAGGGGGGGATGAGGCTAAAGTTCCTTCAAGAAAAACGGCCTTAAAAGGCGAGGCCAGAGAGACAGACAGACTGACTGACAGCTGGGTACAAATACAAGGGTCTTTACATCGGCAGCATGACAAGGAGGTAGTAGCCAGCAGGGGTCAGTACAGTAGATTTGCGCGAGGCATGCTCGGATTTTCGCCTTAGAGGAGGCTCCAGGAAATAGCCATCACCACGGGAGATACGGGCGAACTTCACGAGAAATAGTCAGGGGAGAAAAAAGGAACGATGCCCCCACGGCTTCCGCTTGGGCTACGGGCCGTTACGAAAGGCAAGCAACTAGATGCATGGAAGGAATTCTGGGGTCGAGGTAGGGAGAGAAATAAGAAGAAATAAGGAGAGATGTAGAAAGAAAGAGAAGGAGATATAGAAAGAAAGAGATGGAGATATAGAAAGAAAGAGAAAGAGATATAGAAAGAAAGAGAGGGAGATATAGAAAGAAAGAGAAGCAGATATAGAAAGAAAGAGAGGGAGATATAGAAAGAAAGAGAAGCAGATATAGAAAGAAAGAGAGGGAGATATAGAAAGAAAGAGAAAGAGATATAGAAAGAAAGCGAGAAATCAGGCGGGCTGGGAAGGGAGTATTATATATTGGACAGGGATATGCTTACACATTGGGGTGTATATCAAAGGTAAGAACAGCTTTATGGAGGAGTTTTTGGGTTTGAAAGTTTCGGAGGTCTAGAGGGGGCCCCTTGGTTCCTGCGGCGTTTTTGTTGACGAAGAGTTTGCAGAAAGTTAGGCCATCGCTGACGGATACGCAAAGGAGGCTGCTGCTGATGCGGGAGGTGGATATGCACCCGATCGCATGCAAGAACGGATAGTCTTCCATGTAGACGCGCTGCTCATCTGTCAAGGGGGAGGTTTGCGTCTGAGATGGCGCTTGAGACAAATCGCCGGAAGGCGATGCCTGGGTGAAGCCGCCAGACATGGCGTTTCCCATGGTGCTAGAGCTTTTTGTCTTCGCTAGGCTGATATCCGAAGCACCTCCTGATGCAACACAGAGGGTTCTTCTCGACGCGTCAGACAGGGCGGATCAGCAGCAACTGTTGCTGCTGATCCGCCCTGTCTGACGCGTCAAGAAGAAGATAGAGGGCCCTTAAGGAGAAGTGGGTCAGCGCTCCGCTGTAGATCAGCTCCCGAGGGAGCTAGATGCCTCTGCAGTTGGCATTGCCGTCTGTCTATGCCCTTGTTTCTGCAGCAGCTGGTGGTTCTGCTGCGGCTTATGCCGCTGCCGGCGTCTGACAAGAGGGACGAAATCGGGACTGAATGACCGCTGCTAGGCATGAAGACGCTGAAAACACAGAATGGGAGAGGCAGCAATAGGCTCTTCCCAACACGAGGCTCTCTAGCAAGCTAGGTGTCTGCTACGGCAGCAGCCAGCGTGAACCAGTGGGCAGCAGCAGCCAGGCGCTGCATGCGACCAGCTGCGGCTCGTAGGAAGGTGAGGGCGAACAAGGGACTGCAATGGTGCCTCGTAAAATCGCTTTTCTTCTTTAATAACTAAGCAAAAAGGGCAGCTTACACGCGTGACCGCGTTCGAATTATCGCAGTACGTGCAGCAGTAACTGCAACACGGCGGCATCAGCTGCTGCTCCCTTGTGTTGCCACTGATGGCAGTTCCTTCAGCGCGTATGCTGATAGCCCCCAAAGGAGGCTCCTTTAGACTCGTTTGCGAATTATAGCACCTTGGATTTGCCAACTGCCCGTTGAGGTCCCCCCCTCACCCTCTGGGGCATGCATTTCTCGCTGCAGTTCTTAGGTGTGCAAGCCAAGCCACCTTCCGCATGCTGTAACACCGCGCGGGGAACTTACAGCTGTGCGCTTCTACAGCAGCACTGCTGCAGGGGCAGGCAAAAGGGAGGCAGCTTCTTTCGCCGTTGCGACATCTCACGGGCATACAAACGGAGAAGATCGTGCTCACAGGAGGGTGGGAAGACACACGACGGGGGCGGAACTGTGCAGGATAACAAACGGCTCCTGGGAGCTTTCTGTTGTTCGCCTATGAAGTAGCGCCGAGGCCTTTTGCGAAGCCAGCAGCTGAACAGTGCGAGCTGAAGTGGCGGCTGCAGGCAGAACCCGCCTCCTGCAGGCTCCTACATGTAAAGGTGCTTTCTAAAAGCAGAAAATGACAGTTCCTAGCGATGGCAGACGGCCCAGCGAAGGCATTCCTCTTCTGCAGCAGCAGGGGCTGGAGAACGCCAGCAGCAGCTCTGAGACAGCTGCCGAGCCGCTGCGCAAGGAGTTACGTGCAGCGCAAGCCGCGGCAGGAGATACCCCTTCTGCACCTGCAAAAACAACACAGCCTCCAGACTGGAATGCAAGACCAGCAACAGGCGGAGAAAGCCCTTTCCACAGTCAACAAGGGATTTCCCACTGCAGCAGCCACAGCGCATCCCTAGATGAAGCAAGGGGCCCCCACTGTGGAGCGCAATGGGATAGTTGGCCCTTCTCAGATGCCAGGCAAGCGCTTGTAGCTGTTTTGTAGCTCTTTTCGTAGCTCTTTTCGTAGCTGTTTTGTAGCTGTTGTTATAGCTGTTCTCTAGCTGTCTCGTAGTTGTTTTGTAAAGGTTTTGTGACTGTTTTCATAGCTGTTTTGTAGCTGCTTTGTAGCTCTTTTCGTAGCTGTTTTGTAGCTGTTGTTATAGCTGTTCTCTAGCTGTCTCGTAGTTGTTTTGTAAAGGTTTTGTGACTGTTTTCATAGCTGTTTTCTAGCTGTTTTTATAGCTGTTTTGTAGCTATTCCTGTTACTTCTGCTGGCGTCAGGGCCACCCCGCATCCCTACCACATGCAGCTAGCGGCAGGCATACCGCGAACTTTAGGCACCTGCGGGAGTCTCCGAGAAAGCGCATATTCTGCCTTTACCCCCTCTTCCAAAGCGCAGCCTCAGCCTTGTTATAACGCGTCTGATGCCGTGGACTTGCACGACGCACTTTCACACACACATTTGCACACACACACATTTACACACACACACATTTACACACACACACATTTGCACACACACACATTTACACACACACACATTTACACACACACACATACACTCTCACACACTTACACAAACACATCTATACACACACGCATTTACACACATATATACACACACACACACGCATTTACACACATATATACACACACATCTTCACACACATAGACATACTCTCTCTCCCTCCCTCACACACACACACACACACACACACACACACACACACACACATACATACATACATACATACATACACACCTGTGAAGATGTTATGTTTGCTGGTGCACAGCAGCAGCAACCGGTACTTACGGCACTTTGGCTGGATGAGTTTTCCTCCTCGAGCGCCTCAAATACCTGCAGGTCCTCGAATATCCTGGGCTTCAGCAGCTGCAGCCCTTCAGTCTGCCTGCTTAGATGACTCGCGGAGCAGCAGCAGCAGCAGCAGCAGCGAGAGTGCACCGCAAAGGGGGGCAGCGCTTTCAGCGGACAGGCTTAAAAAGGATTCGCCTCCTCGAATGATCATTGGCGTATGTGCGATGCGCGTGAAGACCGATAGTAAGAGCGATTTCTTCACATGCCTTGACCCCGTTTCCCACTGTGCTCGCGCTATTTTTTCCGCGCCCAACAGAAGGGAATACATCCACCTCCGTAAATTTATAATGCGCCTTTTGGCGTGCAGTAGTTCTTGAGATGGAGTGTGGTAGCCTGCGGAGTGAAGGGCCTTCCAACGGCCAACTGCACACGTAGCGGACTGTTGGCACAGTGGCTGCTGTCTATACGACGCCTTTTGCCCCCCTCTCCACTCGCTTTGTACTTCTGCCTTCTTGGGGTGGGCTATACATCGCGCTGTAGAGGCAACGCCATGCAGACGGGGAAAGCGAAGAGACGCATGATGCCTCCTAGTCTCTCCTGCTCCTGAAGTGACCCTATGAAGCCTCCTCTGCGTGAACTTTCGCTTGTCTGCAACAGGCCGCCCCATGCGGGAGATTTTGGAGCGGCTTGAGAATTTTGAAGAGTTTCGAGTTCTCGTCTTCGATGAGCGCGTATGTTGCTCTTCTTCCGTCGTGTGCGATCTCTTGTTTCCTTCTTCCTGGCTGTCCATACGTGTTTTTCTGGCGCAGAGGCAAAGGCCCCTCTGTGTGTCTCGATGAGTCTCACTGTCTCTCGTTCTCTCTCACACATATTTCGCTAGTTGGTGCGCTCCCTTCATTCTGGTGCCTCTGTAATAATCTCCGAGGATGTTTGCCTCTCCGCTTCCGTGCCTCTACGCCTGTCTGTCTCGGTGACGATATCTGTCTGTCTGTGTGTGACGATCTGTCGCTATCTATCTATCCATCTCTTTTTTCTCCTTCTCATCCTCTCTCTCTCCTTTTCTCACCCTTATCCTCAGCCTCTCTATCTCTGTATCTCCGCCTGTGATGCGTCTATCTCTCTGGTCTGGGAACGCTTGTATATCCAGTGGCGGTGCCACCTCTCTCCCCCTTTCTCCCCTTCCCTGTTGCCCATCTCTTTCGCATCTACTCCTTGCCTAGTGGCTGGCTCAAAGCTTTCTTGCTGTTCGCTTTCTGCATTCTGTCTGCTCGTAAACTTCGGGGAAGGGAGGCTGCGGACGCAGTGTGAGGCGAGTGGCTCAGCTTCCCACATCTGTGTGGCATCGTGGGTTGCATCGTGCTGTGTCTTGTCTGCCCTTCTACCTCCGAGTTCTCCCCACCTAAACGAGAGCCGCTATCTTTCGTCTTTGCTCTTCAGGTCGTCTTGGAAAGCCCTATTGAAGACTGGCCCCGTGTAGACGGCCTCATAGCCTTTTTTTCTTCCGGCTTTCCTCTTAACAAAGCCATCGCCTACGCCAAGCAATACAAACCAATCCTCCTGAACGATCTCTCCAGACAACAAATCATAAGAAACAGAATCGCTATTTACGATGTACTCACGGTATGTGTGTGTAAAGTGTGTATGTGTTTGTACAGTGTGTAAAGTGCGTGTGTGGGGGTGTGTATGTCTACTGCGCTACGCTTTTGCTGCATCATGTCTTTAACTTCCGTACCGTCGTCAAGCGGATGCAGCCTAAGCTGAAGCTGCCTACTTTTCGTTGTCGAGGACATAATATCTCTTGCTGCATCTCTTGCTGCATCCTTTACTGCATCTGTTGCTGCATCTCGTGCTGCATATCATGCTGTGCCTCCTGCAAGCCAGTCGACCTGCTTGCCGTTTGGTGGAGCTGCTCCTTTTGAAGCAAACGATGCTATGCTGGCGGGATTCCTGAGGCTGCGCTGCTGAGTCGGCCTTGCTGGATCTCTCTCATTGCGGCTGCTTTCGACTGCTTCCCCCGCTGTGTCAGTCGCTTGCTTCGCTTCCGTGTGACGTTCTCGCTGAGCAGGAGCACGACATCCCACACCCGTCCTACGTGGTTGTCGACTATGAGGCTGTTCGGCGGGGAGATGCCGCCTTCTCTGAGGGCTACGACTATCTCAGCATCAACGGGCAGCGCATCAACAAGCCTTTTATCGAGAAACCTCAAGAGGCAGACAACCACGACAACTGGATCTACTATCCGAAAAATGCGGGTATTTGGCGCTTGCTTGCTGCCTCTAGAGCAGCCGGCATGAATATACAGCTGCCTCGGCGTGTTCGCTTAACAGTGTATGTGCAGGCGACAGTGGTGTTCTTCATCGATGGTGATGGTGGTGGTGGGGTTGCGTGCGCTGTAGGTGGTGGCTGCAAGAAGCTTTACAGGAAGCAGAAAAACAGCAGCAGCAGCTACTTTCCCGACATCCACCAAGTCCGCAAAGATGGCGTTTACATCTACGAAGAGTTTCTTCCGACGTTCGGCACTGACGTGAAGGCAAGTCTTTGGACTGCCCTCGTTCTGGCCGTGTGCTGAAGTCTCTCAACACGCAATTTTTGATGGCTTTTAGCCCGTCTCCTTTTCCTCTTCCTTGCTTGACACCCCTGTT